TATTTTGTTGCACAAACTTTTGAGGCAATCACTGCAATCAAACAATTTCTGTAACTGTCAATGAGACTTGTGCACCTCTCAGCAGGTATTCTGGCCCACTCCTCATGAGCAGACTGCTCCAGTTGTCTCAGGTTTGAAGGGTGCCTTCTCCAGACGGCATGTTTCAGCTCCTTCCACAGATGTTCAATAGGATTTAGGTCAGGACTCATAGAAGGCCACTTCAGAATAGTCCGCTGTTTTCCTCTTAGCCATTCTTGGGTGTTTTTAGCTGTGTTTTGGGTCATTATCCTGTTGCAAGACCCATGACCTGCGACTGAGACCAAGTTTTCTGACACTGGGCAGCACATTTCTCTCTAGAATACCTTGATAGTCTTGAGATTTCATTGGACCCTGCACAGATTCAAGACACCCTGAGCCAGATGCAGCAAAGCAGCCCCAGAACATAACAGAGCCTCCTCCATGTTTCACAGTAGGGACAGTGTTCTGTTCTTGATATGTTTCATTTTTGCGTCTGTGAACATAGAGCTGATGTGCTTTGCCAAAAAGTTCCAGTTTTGTCTCGTCTGTCCATAGGACATTCTCCCAGAAGCTTTGTGGCTTGTCAACATGCAGTTTGGTAAATTCCAGTCTGGCTTTTTTATGATTTGTTTTCGACAATGGCGTCCTCCTTGGTCGTCTCCCATGAAGTCCACTTTGGCTCAAACAATGATGGATGGTGCGATCTGACACTGATGTACCTTGACCTTGGAGTTCACCTTTAATGTCTTTAGAGGTTGTTCTGGGCTCTTTTGTTACCATTCCTATCATCCGTCTCTTCAATGTGTCATCAATTTTCCTCCTGCAGCCACTTCCAGGGAGGTTGGCTACAGTCCCATGGATGCTAAATTTCTGAATAATATGTGTAACTGTAGTCACAGGAACATCAAGCTGCTTGGAGATGGTCTTATAGCCTTTACCTTTAACATGCTTGTCCATAATTTTCTTTCTAATCTCCTGAGACAACTCTCTCCTTCGCTTCCTCTGCTCCATGTTTAGTGTGGTACACACCATGTCACCAAGCAGCACAGTGACTACTTGTAAACCTATAAATAGGCCGACTGACTGATTACAAGTGATGCTAATTAGAGGACACACCTTGATTGAACATGTCCCTATGGTCACATTATTTTCAGTCTTTTCTAGGGTACCATCATTTTCTTCCAGGCCTGTTTCATAAGTTTATTTTTTAAAAATAATTATGTTAAACCACAGTTCAAAAACAATGTCTGATTTCATTGCTTAATTTTCATAGAATTTTTATTTATTACTTTTGTCAGATTCAAGTTATTTCTGTGACCGTTGTGGGTTTTTCTTTCATTAACTGAGGGGTACCAACAATTTTATCCATGTGTGTCTACTAATTGTGCAACTGCCTCAAAGCTGCAAATACTCCCTCAGGGGGTTCAAAGGTTTATCGTGAGGCAGTTGTTTTGTAACAATTCATTGCTAATTTGTTTAACCCTATGAGCACCAAAACCTGTGTGTTTGAAGGGCATGTTTTCTTCATACATTCTTTTTGACATAATGACACCATTTCTCAGAGCCAGAAACTGTTTAAACAGAGCGAATTGTTGGATTTTAAACTTGCCAATGATCGTTCATTTACTCATTTGTGATGTGCCATTGGGTCAGGAAACACATCAAAGTTTAAATTGTAAAATTTTCATCAAAATCTCTACACACCTCACAAATTCTTTAAAAAAAAATAAGTCTTTGCTCTAATCAAATTCTGTTCAAAACAAAAAAGTCTGCACTTCACAGTACAACTGTGAAACCATAAGTGACTCAACCAACAGCAATGACAAAAATTAAGGATTTTTTCCCCCCAAACTAGGATGAACTGTAGGCTGTGTTTACCCAGAGTAGACAGACATATGAAAGCAAATAAAAATGTAAGTAGTAAAATGTCTAGTATGTAACATCTCCATTTCCACAAAGTACTTGTAACATCTGTATCCGTTGACATTAATGTAAATGTTGATTAAATTCTTTTTGCAAAATAAATAATTAAAGAAATTAATTAATTTTCCTTCTGATTTATGGCTGTACAACTGTGTCTTACTGCATAAAAGACAGCTTTGAGTCTTCTCTACTTGTAGCCATGGTTATGCTGTTTTTACAGCAGTACAGGACTTCATGTTGCAGTCAATAGTTAACAAACAGTAAAATCAACATAGAATAGAATTTACGGCAGTATAATTTATGCACCACTAAATCACATTATCAGTTAAAAATACATGGGCCTTTAATCTGCAATAACTGGCGGTTGTCAAATATTTACACATGCAGCATTCACAGTACACCTTCTCTGCTTTTGCTTTGTCCCCTCTTCCTCCGGCCCGCCTAATGATCACAATCATAATGGACTGAATGAGTTCAGCTTCCCATCTGACAATATTTAATTAACCAAGAAATAATCACAGATTTGGGGCTGCTGCTCATGCACTGCAATAAACATACACAAACAAATAACAAAACTTAGATGGAACTTAGATAGCTTTAGCAATACTCTCTAAACACAGTAACAAGGTTAAGAAATCAGAACAGAAGATTGGTGTCATTGCTCTTTTCTCCACTGAGCATCATAATTGATAATTTACCGGTGCAAGCAGGAGTAATTTTCTCAGTGAGCGCAGCAGATTTCGTTGGGCCGAGGCAGTATAGTCAGTTAATTCCAAATGAATAAAAGCAGCATTTAAAAACCTTCCTTTCTTTTCAAGCTGCACAACAGTCAACCAAATATCTGTGTTTTACTCCAGAACACTGCATTGATTTTGTGACAGTGTGCTGATTTATGACTTAGTCTAGTAGAAAATATAGAACTGAAAATGTTTCAAAAATGCTCTATATTAAAAAAAAAAAAAGAAAAAAAAAGGCACCAGCAGCAGCTAAACACCCCATTAGCAATTCTAAGTGAGTTCTACTCCGACAGCCACGCAGGCAGTCTGTGTGTGATTTATACTACTGTCAAATATCTTCTAAAATTCAAGCATCAAAGCATGTAAAGAAAATCTACACTTTTTAAAGGACCACTGTCATATATAGTATATATAGCAATGAAAACAAGAACACAAGCCAAACATTGATCACTGTGTTCCCCAGTAGTTAGTCCAAACACTTGTCAACATCGTATCAGAATCCAAAACTACAGTGACTGTGCTTGTTGTTCTGAATCAACACATCAGATGATCCCAGCGCTCAGACGACATGTAATTTCTGTGAAAGTGCAGCCAGCACAAGCTCAACTGCCAGAAGCTGACGGCTTGTTTCTGAGCTATTGGGATAAAATCCTTATCACCATTCAGTCACATCCAAACGAACAGGACGTGTATTTAGTTGTGTGCTATGCAGTAGCTCCTAAAAACCTGAACCCCAAAATCTAATCAGTGGGTTATAAAAACTAAATAACTAAATATATACATATATAAAAAAAAACCCTGCTGTTTCCAACAATTCAGCTATCAGGCCCCTTAGCTGTGACTGACGTACAGCAGACGTCTGAACTGAAAACAAAAGAAAACACTTTTCACAAACAGACTTGGCCATGTTGGACACCAAGTACGAAAGAAGGAAACGACACATTAACTATTAACCTATTCATTTTGCAAAGTAGGCAGGTAGCTTCCACAGTAGTTTCACCTGTGAATGACTGAAGCAAATTCTTGTTATCAAGTGAGATGTTTTTTTTCTTTTTTTCTTTTTTTAAACACAGCAGCAAGATTGTTTCAAATATAGAACTGCAACTAATGATTGTTGTCATTGTTGATTTATCTGTCATGTATTTTTTTTGGCAAATCAGCGATTCATTTGGTCATTAGAATATCAGAATATGATTTTCTGTTCACAAACATTTTTGCATGAAAATGAATGAAATGACTGAAATACTAGTCTTTTTTTTCATTGATCTATTGATTAAATAAAAGCACAGTTATTTCAGCTCTAATCAATTATCTCAGAAATTTCAAAGAGTTGCTTATAAAATAACCGCAAAGCAAACTAAATATAGGTGATCCCAGTAAGTGTGAACTTTTAAATTAAGGCTTTACTTTAATCATTAATCAAAGATTTCTTTGGCCTGCACTAATGAATAAATCTAACAATACAATACGCTGACTGTACCAATTATTTGCCCTTTTGATGGGCGTGCAGGTGCAGAATTGTTCAATATTTTTAAAGCTGCATGTGAGCCGCAGTCCAACATATGAAAGAAGAACTTCTCACAGCATACAGTCCATGTTTCTAAGTCCGTGTGAAGCTCCACTTTCACATGTTGAAATGCAGCTCACATGCAGGTTAAAGAGCAACTTAACACCCCTGAAAACTTTGTCTTTGCTGACTTCTCTGGGTTTGACGTCTCTCCTTACGTCAGGGATGTAGAAGCAGGGAGTAGTTGGTACACTGTGACATCACTTTACAATTTTAATAAAGCCATTCAACAGTTAGGATGTGGTCAGAGGTGAAGCACTGGAGCCAGAAATAGCAGTGAAACACGGCTTTGCAGGCTAGTTTTAAGTCACTCTTTAAAACGTATTTCCCCAAACTATGAAATCAATAGAATAAATGATTTAAAATTACCAAAAAGTGCAAGTGAGGAAGTGTTACGATCTGTGCACAGATTATCTACACGTGGAAATACATCTAAGGAAGGAGATATATTCCACTCATACAACCATCCTGTGAAGAAACAGCAGGATCATAGAGGTAAATTAAACATGTGCAGGCACAGCAGGTGGTGTTAGAGGTGAGGGTTGAAAACAAGGTACAACCAACACTGAGGTGTGTGCGGTGAAACAGAAACTCTTGAGAAAAAAACTTGGAGCCATTAAATGTAATTAACGCAGCCAAACGTCAAACCTCCAGAAATAGAAAACATAGGAAATGTTTTCCCACAAAAGGGTCATGCAAGATAACAGGACAAACTAGAGGAGTGTCGAAATATACTTGAATAAAAGCAGACATACCATTAGTCGGATGCCTGGCAAACGACACAGAAAATCTCTTTACTGCCGGCATAGAGAACAGCTCTGAGGAGATAAGAAAGGTAACTGGGATTACTGGGACTGCTGGTGCCTGTGTCTGCCTGTTAGCCTGTGTGTTTCTTAACATGAAGGAAAAAAAGAAGAGAGGAAGAACAAAATAGGAGAGTTGGCCTGTCGATTCATCAGTGTTTGCCTGCCAACTGTCATGCGTGATAATAAAGAGTCATCTCTGAATAAGCCATGTGGGGAGAAAGTGAAAGGAAAGACAGTGGAGTTGATGGAGTAAATGATGGCTGAATAGTAAACATGCAGGAAGTGTGATGCCGAGTCTTGATCTCACCAACGAGAAGCATTCTGTGAATTCAACCTCCGTTTGCTTCCTTTTGTCAGACTGCTATTGTGTATCACCTATCTTTTCACCTTTAAAACAAATTTAAAAAAACAGAAATAACACCTATCTGGTGACAGTGAGAGAAGACTGATACCACCCTCATCTTGGTTGAGCATTAAATATGAAGGTCAAACAATAAGCTCAGCACAAAGATTAGAAGTTGACAAACACCTCAGTGTAACAGAATCTGCCTAATAGACCTCTAAAGCTCTTAAATGACATGTTGACTCGCTTTCAGCTCATGCAAAGTAACTTTTTCTGACCATGTGATGAGTCCAATATTCACTTTTTTAGCTCTAGTGTTGGTATTCCATATTAGCTACCTGATTTTTTTCTCCTGCAGGCTGAGAAAACACTGAGCTGAAAGATGAGCTGTGTAGAAACTGAGGGAAACTGCAGAGTTGTCAGAGTTATCCGAGGGTTCATCACATGACCAACCCCCTTTTCTTACACAAACTTGTGATACACTGTTCATGTAAGAATATTGATTAGATCTGGTTTAAAGCTGAGGTAGGCAGCACTCTTTTGGCATCATTGAGCAAAAATTCCAAAATAACCTTTCAGCATAATTTCATTCATGTGCTGTAGTTCTTATTGGCTGTTTGACAAATGCAGGTGTGTGTGCGTCCCTTCAGATGAAAAAGCTCATTCAATGTTAAAAAATCCTGGAAAAGTTGCTATTCCAACATTGGCAACAACTGCCTGGACTGGAAAGCAACTCCAAAAACAAAGAGAGAACCAGAGAATAAACACAATAAAACACACATGGATCCTCGTAAGTCACACTCTGCTGCTGTGTACTCTGAGTTTGCTGTTGTTATTCTGGACAGGTAACCTGCTAACTTCAGCTACGTGTAATATCTAAACATGTTTAAAGAGTTACTTAGGTTGTGTAGGCTGATGTACCATGCAAGCTAGTGATAAGTGACTATGATAATGATAGCAACTGTTTAGCCTTCTGCTAACTAGGTCTACCCATTATTCTAAATGATTAATTTTCTTCCAAAACGGCCATTTCACTTTCTTGAATTTTGACAAACTGTATTTTGTTGTATGATGCAAGACAGTGAGCAATGTAAACAAAAGTTTGCATATTAAAAGTGCAAAAATGTGGAGTTTAACTGGAAACATGATAAAAAAAAAAAACGTATTATTTATGTCAGTAGTACAACTCCATAAGACATGAATGTTTTCATCAAACTTCTTAACAGTGAAACAGTCTGTATATTAAAAAAGTGCAACATGGACACAGTAAATGTTTAAGGCGCATGAAGCAGCAAAAGCAACTTCTTTTCTCCTCATTTTGTGATTGTTCTTTGACTTGGTAGTAGCTTCAAGTTCAGCTGTATTAAAATATGTGAGCACAGAGAGTAGGAGAGAAGCTAACAGATGTAAAGTGGCTCCACTCCAAACACAACCTGTACGTTTTTTTCTTTAGATATTTGTGCATTTGCTGTGCTGTTGTGATCTGCCGTTCAAATTCTGCACAGTGCACATACTTATTGATGACCATGCTTTTTCAGTGCCAACGTAGCCAATTATGCTAAAGGCTCATGAATGTGGCCCTCATGAATGTCATGTTTATGTTCACGATTAGCTGTTTAGTTTAGATTGTGTTGTGTCCACATATGCACAATGCGTGTGCCCTTCTCATCTCGTCGGATGGGCTTAGGACAGAAAGGGATGCTGCTCACATTCTTTTTAATTTCGGCCTACCTCAGCTTTACAGTAACAAATAAATGGCTGAAATGAAAACCTTGTGCCAGCACAAACAACACAGACTTGATCAACCCTTGAGGAAAAAAAAGAGAACAAGCCAACACAGTTGTCTTGCATGAAAAGAAATATTGTAAGAAAATCTACTTTTATATAATAAATAGTGCTAAATTATATCAAGTTGAACATTTATTCAAAAGAACACATTTGTGACATTGGAGGTGACGTTTAACTGGTGTTACTTGACAGACAGTGAAGGTTGGGAACCACGTCTCTAAAACAACCCTGCAGGGCAGCTTCAGGTCTGAACTGTTCACCTTTCCAGCAACGAAAGAGTGATTTGTTGCCCTGATGCTGCTCTCTTTCTGACGTCAGTCCAAATGTTTAGCTGTCTCTCAGACTGCAACACACAACATAACGTAAGAGAATTGAGCAGGGAAAGCGTCTGCTTGCTCCTGGAGCCTTGCAGTCAGAGTGACACCCAGTGGATGAACTGAACAGCTCAGTTTCCTGTTTAACACCTGCAGTGGAGAAAATCCCAGCAGTTCTGGCAGTGTCCAGATACTTGAGCATAAATAGAATTTTATAACAAATGTGACCTGAGGATGTGTCATATTTATCTTTGGAAACTACTACACCAATTTGTCAAACTATGAGATTACATAGAATCCAGATATATGGCGTCACTAAACCTGCTGTATGGACCCCTGGTGGTGGTGAAAACAGCTCGCTTAGACTCAGAATTAGCAGCAAGAGGCTGAGTAAAACCGAGGGTGTGGAGGGACAATGAGGCTGAGGATTATTTTAAGGTGGATTATTGGGTCTTGAAGAAACATCTGTTCCAAATAACAGGCTGAGTTTCTTAATATAAGGATTACAGTAAATTGTGATTAATAAAAAAAAAAAAAAAAAAAGCCAGGCTTCTGGCTTCCAGACACAAAAACTACTTTACTGTGGATTATGAAATTCCATGAGAGGATATAGTACAAATTGCACCACAACATGCACAGAGAGAGAAAACTGCAGCACATTTGAACCCAAGCAGACAGCGGTGTGTTCAGTGAGTGGTCATGCTGATGTAGAAGAATATTGATTGCTGATAACTGCGGAGCATCACCCATTCCAGCATAAGCCTGCATGCTCAGCATTTGCTACACAGCCAATCACTCTGCTGTCAAATCAGTGCCCTCATGGTGCACGCTGCGAAGAAAATCACTTCAGAAATGTGATGCAACACATTGAAACTGCTGGTTTGTTTTGAGAAAGAGTTGAAAAAGAAAGGAGCTTTAATACAACAAAAAAACTAAAAAATTGACAGTACCGAATGTCCCCAAATGTCAAATAATGTGAAGTTCCAGGAACAAAAAGTAGAAGAATAAAGGGAAAGTTTGCAGAGTTTTTCAAAAAGGATAGAGATGAAAAGACCTGCCCCATGGGAGAGGACAGACAGTGTGGTGAACATACCAAACATGCCACTGTGGCACGGCAGACTGCCAGGGGACAAAGGTGGCTTTCGGTGGTGGTGGTGGTGCGTGCGGACGTAGTCCCGCAGGTTGGGGGCGCTACAGGACACCCCGAGGGCAGAGGCACTGAAGAGGCCAGAGCAGAGCGAGCCTGTGTGAAGGGGAGCCAGGGGAGTGCAGGGTACAGGGATGGGTGGAGTGGAAGTGTAAGTAATTTTATTACACACCATGCTGTTATTATTTCTAACAAACTATTGCAACGGGCAGTTTTTGGGTGCTTACTTTGTGAAAGCGGTACACCTGTGTGAAAGTCCTCCAGCTACAGTTTGGGTGATTGTTACCTTAATCTCTAGTGTGAAAAATATCTGATTTAAAACTAAATTTATGATCGAGAGCTCAAGATAATTTCCAGACAATTTAACTCTCTGAACCCAAACACCCAACAAAGTGTTTGAAAGGCAAAAATCTCCAAAATTACAGCATTCATCAGTGCTGAAAAATTTTTAAAACAGCAACAATCATCAGATTTTTCAACTTTCCCAAGGTCTGTGAAGTGCTGTCCTGTTGACCATATTTCATTACAATCACTTTATTCTACATTTCTCAATTTAAAATTCACCAAAAATAAACAGTTTGCAGTAAACAGTGTCTGTAAAAATAACCTCCAAAATGTCTAATATCTATATTAAGTAGAGTCAAAAATTGTACATGCTGCCTGCAGGTACTATTGTTTTTTTTTTTTATAAAATAATAATCAAAAATCCTCATTTTTACTTAAAGAAATACATACATAAAAAATTAATTGCATCTTATCACTGTTACAACGCACCAAAGACATTTTTGGGTTCTCTTTACTTCTAGCCATGGTTGTGGTGGTTCCATTGAGGTGCAGAAAAAACAGTGAGTAAAAAACTGCTTAAGATTTATTCCCAGAAAGGATGACAAGCGAGTTATATCTGTCAGACCTCTGTGTTTGTGTGCTGTGTAAACAAAGATAAAAAGGCCGAGTGTAGAAATGGGATTGTTTCAGACCTCTGAAACCACAGCTCCTAATATGAATGTGAAACAGTCAATATTTCTACTTTTATTCTAACATTTTAAACCAATATTTTATACGTTTGCAGACCACAGAAAAGTGAGCCTATATCTTTGAAATTCCAAACAAAACAAACATTTTGAAGGCGCCAGTGTTGAGTCTGCGCCTTGTTCCTTTGTTCTATAAACAGGATAAAAGGAATGAACACCAGCTTGCTGACAAAGGCTATAAGCGACACCTGCTGCTCTGGTCGGTGACCTGTGCAGTTTGTGGTGTTGGTGATGAACAGGGATCAGTCGGCAGACACACTTACTACACATAACAGACTGACAGGTTCCACTCAGAGAGGCTTTACATGGAGCCACTTTGATGTCATGTGGACACACAACCAACTGCTGCTTTAGACTTGTGATAATTAAGCACTGAGTGACATGATGATCAGAGCCTTCATGGAGAAGCACACTGTCCCATTTTAACTCACTCATTTTTCACGGCAATATAAAGTCCTTCACCTCTATGGAAACAGGACAACCATGACTAGAAGTCAGGAGCATTCAAAAAATGTTATGTGAAGAGTATGCCACAGTTAAATTGCTATAAATCATAAAAAAGTTGAATTTCTTTGTTTATTTAACAAGATTTGAATCAACATCTACACATTTTTTCCAAGTGACCACAGGAGTACCCAGTACAGGAAAAATAATACTGACCTACCATATTATAGATATTTACCACCTACATTTTTAATTTAAATTTAATTTCACACATTTTCCCTATAAACTGCTGTGTAAACTGTCTGCAGTTCAGCTGGAAAGTCCTTGGGTTTTGGCCCAGTCATCAACATCAGTTACGTTGAGAATTTTAAGTTGTTTTTTTTTGTTTTGTTTTTTTTTGTTCCAGGCAGAATCTGGATATTGCAAACAGCATATTTGTGGCTAATTAATAAATGAGACATAAAAAAAGCAACTTTGAGGAAATATGACAATTTTAAGCTTGGACTGGAGCAATGTTCCCAGTGGAACTACGTGTCACAGGTTTGTAGTTCAAACACTGTTAGAAAGATGGACATCTGATGACTGTGGCACTGATAAAACATGTAATTTTAATGATTTATTGAAGATAATTTTCTGGGTTTAGAGGGTTAACCATCTTTTTCATGAACTTATTATTAGCTTCCTTTTACTCCTGCACAAATCTACTTATGTTAGTTAGGTTTTAATTATGGCACTAAATATAAAAAAACCTCAAATACAACTGGACTTCTTTTAGGAGTGTGATGCTGTGGCACTGTAAGATTGTTAATCCATACATACAACCTTCTGCAGGGTTCTATAGATCTATCAGTAAACACAACCACTGATCACTGACATCTCAAATATTTAAGGAATTGTTTTTTTCAATTATATCACTTATTGTCTGGTGACATCAAGCTGGAATGGAAGATATGTACAAGTGTTACAACAGCTGACTTTCAAACTCCCAGTGAAGCAGATTGTTTCCACAAAGTGACGCCACTCTCCATTCTCACGTTCACGGTTTTACGGTTTTATCCACATGTCTTGATTTAGACGGCAGCCTTTCATGCTTGTGAGTGTCACCGTGTTAGCAGGTTGTTGGAGGTTACATGCCCTTGGGAACTGTACACACACCGAAAACAAGAGTCCTTCAAGGATTTTTCCTTTGGGTAGCAGTTAAATCACACTGATTGAAACAGAGCGGTGCTTGAAAAGAACCAAACTAGGATTTAGCTAATTCAGAATACTTTAACTTTCTGTTTCTTTCAGGATCATGAAGAACTACGTTAACATCTAACTTCATCATAAAGGTTCAGTGTGGGACCAAAAAGGGTTCTGCTGTAAAGCCCACAATATTTGGAATAGCACAGAAGATATACTTTTTAAATAGTATGATGATTGCTTAATTTTGTTTAAAGTGTAACCAAACAGGAAATAAACTCTAGTTAGACTGTAGTGCACCGTATCATACAGCTTCTGATAAATATATCAGGATCTCACCATAACTTTATTCAGACTTCTGTAACAATAGTGGTTTTAAATGATGTACAATTAGTTTTTTGTGGAAGATTATTTTTTCAGTCATATTTCTGGCAATTAAAAGACTATGATTAAAAAACTTTTTGTTCTTTTGTACATATGTTCAACTGGGCTCAAAGGCTGTCTGAGGGATGTACTATGAAATAGGTTCAACATACAAGACATTAAATTATGATGATGTTTGTATACCAACAGCTGTACACTTTACATCCAGCATGGAATTGGTACATAAATTATGTCTCCAGGTTTCTGAGACATTATTTGCTTTACTAATGTAATATTTTAGCATATTTACTTACGCTAGCTGAAGCTACTGAGTCTAACGATTCAGTTTGATTCTTAGACATTGCTTTCAGGAGAGGGCTGGGAAATAAGACACAGGCACGCCTACAGTATGTTCCCTATGTTGTCACCTTATCACCTAGAAGGGATATCAGTATGTCTTTGAACGACATGTGACACCAGAGATCCTGCAGCTGGCTGCAAACGCCACTCTTCCCTGCTGACCTCTTGCCTACATAGTTTGGAGTCTGATCCTTTTTGGCTGCTGCAAAGCTAAGCTGGGCTGAAAGCTGTGTGAGCATCAGAAACAGGAGGGGTGGTGATGGAAAGAAAGGAGGAAAAGAAAACTAGGCAGAAAGAAGCGAGGGAGAGACTGAAAGAGATATGGAAAGGTGAGGAGGTCAGGAAATAGTCACAGCCAGGGCTTGTGAGGAGGAGGATCAGAGATGACAGCTGGCGATAAATGTGCTGTGAGGTCAGAATGTCTGTTGGCACATGCACGCGCACACACGTGTACACACGTACACACACGTACACACATACACACACATGTACATGTGTTTGTGTAGAGACACACACACACACACACACGTACACACACACATACACACACACGAGATAGGATGCCCACCTAGGCCACTGGCTGGTTTGATCTCAGGAGACTGGCGTGAACACGACTGGAAGAGTCGATGGGATGTGCAGCCTTTGGATGAATGGGTGGGAGAGGTCTCAGAGAGGACCTAAGTGGGGCCATGGAGACCAAGGGTTAAGACTGAGACAGTTACCCAGGGGACCCAATGTCTCCATTTCACTTTATGAAACCATTACACTTGTTACACACACACAAAAAAAGCAAAAAGTAAAATAGTACAATTGCTTAACTTAAGTGATTTACTGGAATTAACTAAGAAAAATCCAAATTCACATTCTGTTGTTATCATCATTATCATCCTGCCTACTGCGGAGACACCGAGTCTGTACCTCCATGGAGCCCGTCTTGCGATTGCGGATCATGGGGGATCTTCGCTGGATGTTGATTGGCTCTGAGACAGGAAGTGCCTGGTCTGGCTGGTCCTGAGAAAGGTCCTCCAGACTGCCCTGATTAGGTTTTTTGTCCTGATTCTGATTGGTCAGAAAGGATGACTCAACATCATTGCATTCAAACCTGTGCATTATGATTACTGTATTTTAGTGCATTTTGAAGACTCTGTATAATGTAAAATTTTCAACATATACAAGAACCTGTGCAATACAAGTACTTTCCACTTATGGAAGAATATGTGCACTATCAGTGGTTTTCAAATATAGAATAACCTTGTGCAGTATAAAAATTCTGGCAAAATCTTGAATTTCTACATATAAAATAATCTATACAATATGAACAGCACTTATGTGTGTCTCTTGTTTTTTATATTCTCCACTGATATTCCTACATTTTTGCATTATTCCCTTTGCTGCTGTAACACTGCAAATGCCCCTGCTGTGTGACTAATAAAGGATTATTTCGTTTCTAAGAAACAAGAGATTGACATTTCTAAGCTGAACTCCATTCTCAACTCAAATAAACTTGACTTTAACATGTAATCCAATGACAAATGTTGTTTGTTAATATAGTTATCTTCACAAGAGATTAGCAAACTATCATTAATTGAACATTTCAATGTAAAGACTTTTTATGTATTCTTTAGCGACCATTTAATTTTCAAGAAAATGTGTTTTTCCTCACAATTTCTAAAAGAAATTCCACACAGTATAATTGTAAGTGTTAAATTGCTGCAAGACATTGTCAAAACAGTGAGTCTTCACATAGACAGACTTTCCTCAACATAGGGGTACACTCGGGTTTGTCCGAATAGCATTTACTGTTCTCCAGATATTTGGGGCAATTAATGATGGATATCCCGAATAGTTGGGAGGGGGGGGACGACGACATTCAGAGATCAAAATTGATATCCCGATTCTAGCACAGCAAACGAATAGTCGGTTATTCGACTATTGGGTGCAGCCCTAATGTACACCAGAGTGACAGAACATAAAAATTGAAATACCGTATACAGATACATGTGAAATGCTTGCCACCAACAAGAACACACTAGGATTTTTTTTAAAAAACCTGGTCAGACTTAGTGTAACTTCCCACTGGAAGGCATAGAACCAAGGCTAACAATGCCACACTTTTGAACTGTGTGCACGTTGCTGTCCGTCATCAGTTTGGTTTTAAACATGACCAAACCATACAGATTTTACAAAAGTATAGACATTTGATGGAAATGCAGCCACGCCTGCAGCTAAACAGGTGCAGACTAAATCATTTATCTCACTCCGGGTATAGCTATGCAGCTTTGTGCATCTTCTGATGCACAAAACTTAGACACTTAATGCAGCAACTGAATCACAAACTCCATTAAGTTAATTGAATGTAATTGAGGACCACATCTATATTAATAAACTAAACAATCTGCACAGTTTTATACCAACCAGCACGACAAACACTGCAGAACCTTGCACAACACAGACACACATATTCACACACCTCTGAGGATGCTGGTCGGAAGCCAAAGCCAAGAGGTACGTTCTCTTCATCTTCACATCCTTTGACTCCTGGACTGAAGTGAAGCTCCACATGGAAACGCTCCTCTGAGGAGGGGTCCTGCTCAACACAAACATTAATGGTAAAGGGAGGACACACAAAAAGGTTGTAAATGAAGCTAAAGCAATATGATTGAATATTTCACAACTCCTGAACCCTCTGAACCACAAGCAGTTTCTGGGCTTTTTTGGCCCACATTTTTACTCAACTGTGGAATCATTTTTTACTGTAATATTAGGTGTTGCACCTCTATGGAAACAGCACACTCATGGCTAAAAGCAGAAAAGACTCAATCATTGTCTTCTGTGCAATATGACTCACTCAGGATGCCATAATAATAATAATATACATGAAAAACCTATAATCAACTTGTACAACATTTCCTAAGTGCTCACAGGTATTAACAAAGCTGGAAAAAAACTGGTGGGTCTACATGCTACACATTTGTCTCCATACTTGTCCTATATCTGAACTAAACATGGCCTGCAGTTCAGCCGAGGAGTTACAGAATTTTTTCACCAATGGTTTCACAATTGTGCCGTTTTGTAGAACCAAGATTTTTGTATTTTTTTATAGAATCTGTTTTGTACAAACACTTTATTTTTGACAAATGTTTAAATAAGACATTTAGTAAAAATGATTTGATAAAATAGCACAACCACAAGTTTAGATTTGGACTAGTTTCCTGACTCAACGGTCATCACAGCTAAGCAGTTAATGGATGTTAGAAAGTTGAAAATCTGACGACTTCTGCTTTCATAGTTTCTTTCTATGATAAATTATGCAATTTTTCTTTATCCCCCCAAGATAGCCTATCTTTCAAACCTGCCGGCAGGGTTTGGGGTTGAGAGAATTAATGTAACCAAGAAGGTTACATTTCACTTCATGCTGCTGCACAGTGATGCAGCACTCAGCAGACTGACCTTATTGTTGTCTTCATACAGCATGATGACTATCTGTGTCATGTAGTTGAGTTCAGTCACAGCGCTCAGGTAGTCCATTGCCTGTTTCCACTGCTGGTCCTTCTCCTCCTAATGGACACACAGCAAAGAAAAGACATGAGTGCACACACATACAAACACATTGATAAAAGCATGCATGAAACAGCATGGATGTGCACACATTCCTGCAGGCACAAAGTGAACATCAAGTCTACAGCCTCATTTAGTTAAGTCAGTTGACAACCTTTACAATAATGAAGAACAATATATAATAATAACATCTAGGGCTGGTGGACATGGCTGACTACATCATTTATTGTCTGAAGGGTGTTGCACATTACATCAAAGAAAACTGTTTAAAAAGCTCTTGGAATCATTATTTTGGACTGTAGAATTTGAAAAAATGAAATTAAATGATAATATACAAGTATCTTTGATTATCACCAGCCTACATTCATTACTTCTGTATATGTTGTCTAAGTTGTACATGTGCGAAGACAAATGATCACAGATATGTTGTTTCTTAGGCATCTTGCTAAAAGAAATAATTAATGAAAATTACTTCTCAGTGGACTTTATTGAAAAGTATATTTTATTATATTATTACATTAAAGCTGACTGTTTATAGAATTACCAACCCTACCACCTTCAAAATGTTATTCCATTCTAAAAAGTATTCCTGTTTGCATTGCACATTAAAATAGTTCTCCCCCTATAGCTCGCTATCTTTTCTGTCAAATCTCCATCCAGAAAACCAGCACATACATCCAGCAGTCCTCCGTAGCGGAAGATGCTGAGCAGGGAGTGAACGTGGCTCTCGCTTGTGAAGTAGAGGCGTGTGCGGACATGACGACCAGGAGACATCACGCCTCGAGAATACCTGAACACCAGGGGACAGGACACGGCATAAACACACGCTGTATATACTGTACACTGTATATGTGTAGCCTATATACATGCAAATATGTTTGTGTGCGGCAGTCTCTCACAGGGGGTGCAGCTTGTTGACGGCCTCGTCCTCATGGGTCCTCTGCAGGTCCAGCTGGATTTTCTTCAGCAGAGGAACACAGTAAGCCTGAGCAATGTCCAGTTTCTCTGCTTTGCTGATGCCATACTCCTGATGTGGAAGAACAAAGAGCTGGTTACACTTTCATTCACTTCTGTTTACTTGTTAATTTTACTGGGATATGGAGCCTTATTTTACAAATATCTGGAACAAAAGGCAGAGAAACACTGGAGCATCACAGGGTGCACAAAGACATCAGTGACATATTCTTGTATGGAGGGCTTAATATGAAATTCCATGGTTTTTCTGTGAATTCCTTTTACCTGATTGCGTTTCACTGCTTATGCTAATGTTGCAACACTTAAATCTTGCCACATTTTTGGATCAATACATTTTGATTCAATGCTCAAAAGCAAAAATAGTGAGATTCACCAGCAGCTTTTTCTACAGTGGTTATGAAAGTCACGTGCGATTGCAATAAATATTATCTGCAAAAAGCCTTCTGGCACAATTCCCAAAAGTGATCCATTTATCAAAATTTGGACTCCTCCAAAATATTTATGTAAAAGAGACAACATCAAGTTTTTCTCAATGGAATACAAATTTTACAATAAATTCAATATTTTAATAAAAACAAAATAGTTCCATATTAATGCACCTACAACTATGCCAGTGATTAGTGCCATTGTTCTGCTATAACCTGTGGTATGACTATGTCAGCCAGGGCACGGGACAGTCTGAACAGCTCCAGTGTGTCCTCCAGACTAAGTGAGGCGTTGTGCTGGGAGTCGTATTTGATGCAGTCGTAGATGTCGGGGATCTTGCTGATGTCGTAGCGTCCGTTCTTCATGCGGAAGTCTCTCTCCAGCTTGGACCAGCGCTGCAGCATCAGCTCCAATGTCTCACTGTGGTAAAGCTGCAAGTCTGTGGAAAAGCACAGGATAACCAATCTTATCTTCAACGCGGCCTGAACACACACAGGTTATTGTCTCTTAGACTGACACATTTGAACTTTTCTGTCTCATTCATGCTGACAGAAGCCTGCAGACTGAACCAAAGCTTGCAGCCTTAAAAGAGTAAAACAGGTTTGATTTATTCGCCAACTGCAGCTGATTTTTTCTCTCCAATACACTTAAATCTGTGCATAGTTACTCCAGGTTCACACTACCTGAAGACTTGGGGTCTTCCAGTCTCTTCCGGATTTGTGACGTGAGGCTCTGGATGAGTGCATACACCTTGTCACAGGTCTTGACTGGATTCTCTATGACAGTCATAGAGTTCACCAGTGATGGACTGCTGGTTGGGGCCAGCTGGGATACAATGGATACAAAACAAAGAGAGGTGGATAACATTTTCTCAATAAAAGCATGTCAAAGAATGAAGTCAGGGAGGATGTAGACAACTTATCCACCAACACATGCATGGGCAATTTTTGCTTAACAATATTTTCACAGTTCTTTGGATAAGCTAAATCTTTTCTGGAATGAAGACTTAAGCATGTCCAACAGTTTAAACTGAACTTGTGGCGACTTACAAATAAGAAATTGCATCACAAGAAGAAGAAGCAAGATGGCGCCGCGGATGGTCGCCTCGGCACTGCACTCCCTAGGAATTTGTTTGTTTGTTTAATTTCTCTGTGTCTGGTCATCTGAGTCCGTTAACTTACAGCAGAGAGGAGCTGCTCAACATCAGAGAGTCCTCTCAGGACACGTTTCCTACTCTTTGCTCAAGTCCAGAGAGTTTTATTGAGATTTTAGTTGGAGGGCCAGCAGCCCTGTATAGGATACAGAGAAGGCGCAGACGACGCAAGCGGACCGGCACACTCGTTAAAATCTGTAAGCGCGGCCTCCTCCCATTCATTCACCTGGCGAACCTCCGCTCCCTGCCCAACAAAATGGATGAGCTGCTCTCCTCTTCAATAGATCCAATAAGGACTTTGCCCGTTCGGCGGCCCTTTGTTTCACTGAAACCTGGCTCAGTGAAGCCGTACCTGACGCCGGACTTCACCTGCCCGGCTTCTCTCTCCACCACGCGGACCGCGTCACGGAGCGATTGGGGAAATCAAAGGGCGGCGGAATATGCTTTTACATAAGCGAAGATTGGTGCACATCTGTCACAGTTCTGTCTAGACATTGCAGCCCTAATCTGGAGTCATTTTACATCAACTGTAAGCCGCTTTTTTTTTTTCGCCGCGGGAGTTTTCCTCGTCGGAGTTTACATCGCCCCCCAGGCCAATGTGAACGAAGCGCTGCAAACTCTTGCTGAAAAAGTTAAACGATTTTGAACAGAAACACCCGGACTCGCTTTTTATTGTCATGGGGGACTTTGAGGTTGAATCAAAAAACTGCCAAAATACAAACAGCACATTAGCTGTCCCACCAGAGACAGCAACATACTGGACCACTGCTACACCATTATTCAAGAAGCATACCACTCTGTTCCCCGGGCGGCTCTAGGACACTCTGACCACTGTCTGGTCCACCTCATCCCCACATACAGGCAGAAAATAAAATTTGCAAAGCCTGCTGTCAAAACTGTGAGGAAATGGACCACTGAGGTAAAGCAGGAACCACAAGCCTGTTTTGACTGTACAGACTGGAGTGTTTTTGAAGCTGCCAACAACAACCTGGATGACCTGACAGACACTGTGACTGCGTACATCAGTTTCTGTGAGGACATGTGTGCCAACCAGAACCTTCAGAACCTTCAGTAACAACAAGCCATGGTTCACCACCAAACTGCGACAGCTCTGCCATGCCAAGGAAAGAGGCCTACAGGAGTGGGGCGAGAAACACACTGAGGAAAGAGACCAGAGTGGCTAAGAGGAACTACTCTGAGAAGCTGAAGAACTGGTTCTCAGCTAACGACCCTGCTTCAGTGAGGAGAGGCCTTCAACAGGTCACCAACTACAGGAGACCATCCCCCCCTGCTGAGGCAAATAAAGACCTGGCCAATAACCTCAACTCCTTCTAATGCAGGTTGCACCCCCCGCAGCCCACCTCTCATCCACAACACAACCACACCAACAACCTCTGTTACACCTGAGACTGCTCCCCAAACCGTTTTATGGACTTCAGCTCAGCCTTCAACACCATCATCCGTGGAATCCTCTCCACCAAACTCTCCCTCCTCAATGTGTCTCCATCCATCTATCAGTGGATTAACAGCTTCCTGACAGACAGGAGTCAGCAGGTGAGGATGGGAGACATCATCTCTACAACCCGGACTGTCAGCACTGGTGCCCCGAAGGGGTGTGTCCAGTCTCCACTTCTCTCCTCCCTCTACACCAACGACTGCACCTCCAAGCACCGAGCTGTCACACTCTTTAAGTTTGCAGACGACACTACAGTCATCGGCCTGATCCAGGACGATGACGAGTCTGCATATTAGCAGGAGGTTGAGCAGCTGGTGCTTTGGTGCAGCCAGAACAACCTGGAGCTGAACAAGCTCAAGACTGTGGAGATGAGAGTAGACTTCAGGAGACAGCTTTTGCCAGGCTTCCCCTCACCATCAGCAACAGCCCTGTGTCAACTGTAGAGTCCTTCAAGCTCCTGGGGACCACAATCACTCAGGACCTGAAGTGGGAGAAGAACATCCGCTGCATCCTCAAAAAGGCTCAGCAGAGGATGTGCTTCCTGCGACAGCTGAGGAGACACAGTCTGCCACAGGAGCTGCTGATTCAGTTCTACACCGTCGTCATCAAAGCTGTCCTGTGCAGCTCTGTCACTGTGTGGTTTGGAGCAGCCACACTGCAGGACAGAAACAGACTGCAGCACACAGTCAGAACAGCCGAGAAGATCATCGGAGCCCCCCTGCCCTCCATCCAGGAACTGTACTCCAACAGAACCAAGAAGAGGGCAGGGAACATCATCATAGACCCCACTCATCCTTGTCATATACTGTTCTCCTCCCTCCTCTCCAGCAGGCGATACAGAGTCCTGCATACAAAAACTACCAGACATAAAAACAGCTTTTATCCCACTGCATTGACCCTGCTAAACAGCTGAGCCATTCTCAGCCATAACACTGCAGACTACTTGCACTGCCATTTTTTGCACCCCTGTACATATATTTTTTTTCTGCTAGGTGTGTATATTCTTGTATATATTTATCCTATTTTATTTTTTATTACTATTATTTATTTCATTTTATTTATTTATTATTTCTATAGTTATTTTACTTTATTGTTATTCTTTTCCTTGCTAATTCCTAGGGTGGCACCAACAGCCGGAACCAAATTCCATGTATGTTGTGCACATACTTGGCCATTAAAGCTGATTCTGATTCTGATTCTGACAACTTGTCAAATTATGTGATGTAAACTTTCCTTTCATGATTTTGTGTTGGACAAATACCTTTTGATAGTCCTCCTGTGAAAACTCCTGGTCCTTCTGCATGATCTCATGCAGCCTGGCCTTCACCTTCTGTTGGCAGTCAGTCAGGGAGTCGCTGTCGCTGTCCAGCAGTCCGTTCATGTTGGCACTCTTGACCATCTGAACCAGGATGGGGGTGAGCTCCCCTTCTAGAGCCAGCAGACCCTACAGAGAACCCATACAAATTACAGTTATCATGTAAAATATTTAGAAAAAAGACAGAAGAATTTTTCCTCTAGAGTGCTCATTGTTTTCAAAAACAGAGATTTTCATTCAAATCTTATTGTGGACCCCCCGATTTTAAGAATCCTAATGTCTTGGGTTTGGTTTGTATGGAGCCCTGGAAGGGACATGGAGAAAGAAGAAAAACAGGAAGAGGGGGAAAAAAAAAAAATAGAGGTATCTTGTGCGAGATATCGCAAAACTTTCTCGGGATCTTGCAATAACTTTTGTAAGATCTTGCAAAACTATAGGTATATATACTTCTGAGTCTTTTTGGCAGTATGGAGAAATGACAATGGAGGACACCCACCCATACGAAAGTTTTATTGAGTTTTATTTTGAAATTGGCCTAAAATATAAAGTCATTCAAGTAAGAGGCACAGTTTTCACAAAACGTCCAATAAAATTGATGTGACTTTTGGAAGATACCAAGATCCCAAGAAAAAATATCAAAAAAAGATATAAAAGATACCTCTATTTTTTTTCCCTCCATCAGTTTTTTTTTTTCTTTCTCCATGTCCCTTCCGGGGCTCCATAGGTTTGCGCATAGGCTCCATGTAATTTTGTCACATTACAAACGCTTAAAGTGGCATTCTCAAAAATGTCTGTTTTCTCCTCTTTGGCAGCACCTGTGGTGATAAGCAGTAATTGCAGGTGTATTTCTGAAGCTCAATATTTAGAGGTCAAACAGTCAGCTGGTAGTTGCCATCTGTGTCACCACTCCATGAAAGGGAAAAAAACTGTGCATTGCTTCATACACATACACACAGGTGAGCTAAAGAACAAGTCTGTCACGTTAGCTCCGCCTTCCTTCCCTGGCAGAAAGATCACTGCTGGTTGATGAAGCACGCATTACTCACTGTGTGTAGCTGGTGATTTTACACAAGAATGTTGCCACAGATACTCAGTTCATAACAATGTAAATGATTTTCATTTATTTTCACAAAATTTAACATTTAATTTAACAAACCTAAGGAAGCGATCCTGTCATCTTGCAGGGTAGGACTTCCTGCATCACAGTTCTACTTCAGCATCACTTCCTTTCAAACATGTTTGGTTAAATTACTTCAATATTACAACTAATTATAGTATTATATTATTGGCCATTGTGTAGAGTAGTTTTACAGTGTTTATGACGAATTGTAGATAAGCTGGCAGCTCGAGCTGCAGCGACTGGGGAGGGGTGGATGGAGGAACTTAATACATCTGCACATTCTAGAGTTAGCAATGCTGTGGAGTTACATCTGGGCCATTTAAGGCATTAAGGGATTCCTTAGATGGTAAAAAAAATTGTACATATGCAGCTTTCATACACAGTTGTGTTTTAGGGGGTTCATCGATGACCTGCGAGGGAGAGTGTTAATGTAAAAAAAAGTTACACAAGTTTAGTCTTCCAGGTAGGGGGACAGAGTTACCTTAGCAAAAGCAGCTGCCGTCATCTGCACCCTGCCTTCATCAGATGCGTAGATCTTCAGGTCGTGGCGGTAAGTGCTGTGCAGACGCAGGAGGCCACAGCCAGGAAAACCCGCATAGTCACCTGAAAGATTGTGCAGAGTGAAGCATCACAGTTAACTGGCCTGGTCACAGCACTGAGATGGACTGTACAATAATGTTTACGTAGCGGCCAGGTCGGTGAGGTAGTTGCAAGAAAAGAGAAAAAAAAATGATGTGCTGATTATACCCAAAAGTACCAAAGATTGCCATTAAACGTATGAAACACAGCACCTGTGCAGGTGCAACATCACTTTCAGTTCAAGTGCACTGTCTCCAAAATGTTTTGTAAGATTTTGACAGACTTCATTTCCCTTAAATGAAAATGTAAACGGTGTGGTTTCAGCTATGAATAAAATGAAGTGAAAGTGAAGTGAATAGATGTTGAATAAACCCCAAAAATTACTGATGACAGCTCCCTTGCAGATGAGATCAAATACGTTAGATTACCTGTTTGGAGAGAGACAATAAAAGTCTTTTAACATGCTCAATATTCATGAATTAATGTTACATAGGGGGTGGATGCATACTAACACTACAGATCAAATCACACTGATGCTTCATGCATTTCTCTTTAGTGGACAGCCAGGAAGCCTGATGTTAACCCACTGATACATTGTCTTATCATGCCTCTTACTTAACAAGAAGATATGTTTCGGGACTTATCTCTATTCTGAGCACTAATCCAGGCCAAAATAGACCGGCTTTTATCAAACAAACAACATTTCAAGAACTCATGAAAAAAAAATGCAGTAGGATTAGTGTGAGATGATCCGCGTTAGCTGAGAACACTACACTGCAGTCACTTTCGCTGCTTGTGTTGCATGTATGACCAAATGACCAAAACAATGTTTCCTGTGGTGGATCACCTTTGGAACACAATAACAGCTACACAAACAATTCATAGCAATCTTTGTGTTGGACAAACAGGACTAGTCGCCAAGTGAATTAACCAAAATCATGATGAGATGAGGAGAGATCAGAGCACGTTAGTGGACGCAGCGACAAACGCGCAGAATGAGAGAGGAGTGGCAGAGCATTGATATCCAGCAAACCCTTCTCTTACCAAAGTCAATAGGGGACTCACAGCCAAGGGACCGGCGATTACCGGCTAGTAGTTTACACAGTGCAACAACACGTAAGAAGAGAAGAGCAGAGTTAATTGACAAAACTTGTGGTGGAGAAAGAGGAATGAAAACAGTCGGTGGGATGAGAAAATCACCTTCTTTTCACACAAAGAAGCAACACTGGGACAGGTTGTATCTAATCACTGCATCTACTTTCAGTTTTGCTTCAGGTTGTTTGCACAGTTTAAGGTGTGTTTTGCATGCACTGAAACAATGCATTAAGAAGGAAAGCCGGAATAAATGAATGACACTGAGGTGTTGCTCATTTAAAGGCTCTGCAAGAGATTAAGTGGAAAGAAACCTTCATCTAACTCGAGAGTTTGTCTTGTTATTGTATTGCACACTGTGGTTAAGAGGGTCAGGGTGAAGGTGCTATGTGTAGACTTTTGAAACATTAAAGAGTAACAGCATATTCAATTTTAAATGGATATAAAATAAAGTCGCATTTCTGTCTCATGCAGTGTGAGCAACATTCTGCATGGGTGTGGTTCGGTGTGCTCAGCTGTACTAAAGCCAACACCCAACTGCTGCACAATAGTTGACTGTGAAGTGCTGCACAGGCTGTGCAAGACATATAGCAGCTGCTGGATGGCAGTGTGAACAGCATGTTTAGCCTGGGTATGGTTGACTCTTTCAATCCTCATTATCACAAGTGATTCCTTTAATTAAATACTGCAAAAATTAGTTAGTACCACAGTTGGTGCTCTCAAACTTGAAACCTATATTCACTGGCCACTTTATTAGATAAACATCAGTTTTAATACTGTCAATACAGCTCTGCCTTTAACTTTTCCTGCACAAAGCTTGTCTGTAAATGTATGCTAAGTCAATTATACTTTTTATATAGAAGTCAAAGTTAGTGAAGTATGTGAGTTAGTTGAATATCTATTTCTAATCTTCTTTCACCCTATGATTACCCTATGAAAATTAGAGAAAAAACCTCAATATAATGCAATGCAGTTCAAAAGAGCTACAAACTAGAACCCTAATAAAGTGGACAAAATCCGTTCCTTTCTGACAGTGTCAATCAAAACTGAACATTATTATCTTCCCAAAGGAAGAATTTATGGCTGAGATAATGTATTGGATTGCACTAGAGAGTTGGAGGTATACCTAATAAAGTGGCAACTGTTTGCAATTTCTGTTCATGTCTTTTGATTCCTACTTCTTCCAGTACTGCAAATCTCCATTACAGCTTCCACTCTGGATGTTTGTTTAATCGCTGACCATAAAGAGCAGCAGCCTTTTGATGAGTACGTTGAAATCAATGTAGACAATACAATCTTAAGTCAAGGTCCACCTCCTCTTTTATTGTGATGTTGAAAACACAGTCTTCATCGGCAGATGGAGTCAGTATGGAACTGCCAATGTTTAAACTCTAATCTGAGCATTATTAGGGCCTTGAGTTAAGACTGTTATTCCAAATGCAAAGAGTGGACCATGAATGAGGCAAAATAGGAAGCAGTGGGTGCTGGAAGCCCGAATATCTGGCTAGTCAACCTTAAAACAACTAAAACCATCTCCACCCCAACTGTATTTGAGACACTGAATGTCAGCTTTGCAATATCGACAGTGTATATGGCAGTGTTTTCAGAAACTAAAAAGAAGGGCTGGAAATAGACATTTATGCAAAAACAAAGGCACATATGGTAAGACTGGCGGGACTGTGTGACTTGTCTTTGTCCCCTTGACTGTAAAGAAGAAATTGCCTGTGATAAGGTTTGAACATTTGTGAAAAAAACCAGAATAGAAATGTTGATGAACTAACTTGAGGGGACCTGGAAATGCAATTTATAAATACTTCACGTGAAAAGAAGCATTTTTTCCCCACTGGAAAGGTGTTTTATCCAAAGCAAAAAGAAACCCCAAACAAACAAGAAAGTAGTAAGACACTGTAAGTACATATACTGGCTAGAATGTGTGTCTGGTTGGTACCTTGACCTCCAGGGTACATGCAACGAAAGGCCCTGCCCAGCTCCTCAGCCTGAACCCGGCCCGCAGGCGTCAGTTCCCCGCCCCACTTCAACACCAGCAGCAAAGATGGACTGTCCTTCTTCGAGTCTGGAAAAATAGCAGCAGAAGGTACCTTCAGAACCAGAATGTATTTCATACAGCATACTACACAAGTGAGTTAACCCCTGTGCAAGAAAATAATTACATATCATATTGTCTCTAGTTGACATGAAGAGTATTTCTTAATGAAAAATCTAAAATAAATACGTTAGAAAGACTAGATTGAAAACACAGCCCCCAAAGCAGAAACTCAGAAAATCTGTGAACACATAAACAAAATGAGTACACCTTTTATTCCATTTACCCCAACTTCATGAACATGGTTATAAAATGATGTGTAAACACCTGAATTCTCAACTTTTGAACCTACATATCTGCATCATGGCTCCATGTGGAAGAATTAAAGAAGAATTGGGGATTTGAAAAATAAAAACTTGACTGTCAGACCTCAAAGGATAAAGGCAGATTGGTGGTCAACTAAAAATAAGACAAAACACAGTTGTGGCAGTAATCATCTATCTGTTTGTCTTCTTCGGCTTATCCAGGTTGGTGGCAAGCAAAACATGTCATTCCATAGGTCCCTCCACCTAAAATTGTTTGGGTCAGATGCGGTGCAGCATGTTTAAACCTGGACAGGAATCCCACAGTAAATTCATAGTCCTGACAGTGAAGTACGGAGATGAGGGTGTGATATGAGGCTGCATGAGTGCAAAAGTTGTTGTGGAGATGACATGCCTGTGGATATACCAAAATACTGGCTGACAGGCTGATAAGATGAGTCCCAGTCTGCAGAAGCTTAGAAGAAGAGAAATACTCCAGCATGATAACAATTCAAACCAGACTGCCAAAAATCACACAAGAGTTTCTAAAGAAGCAACAAGAAACAGAACACCTTTGGGGTATTTTAAAGAGAAAGGTAAAGCAGCACAACCACTCCAGCAAAGAGTATCTGAAAAAAGCAGTATCTTAAGAATGGCAGAACATCTCTCCTGAAATGTGTGCAACACTGGTATTCTCTATGGTGGGAGGACTGAATTTCAGTAATGAAAGGTGTACTGCCTTTTGTTGCACTGAGTTTCTACTGTGGAGTCTATGGAAATTTACTCTAAACATCTTTAAGGAAATTCTGCTTCTTTGGTGACAGAAGAGATATTCCTAGAAAGCAGTACATTTCTTTCTGAAGTTTCATTCTGCTACTTCATATGCACAGGATGGCCCAGGAGCACAATATATTATTCAGCTGACAGTATCTTGATCTGTAGGTATGGAGGGAATGCCTCTATCTGTGATGTCAATTAAAAAGATTGTAACATTTCAGGATATTTGTTTAAATCTTTAATTGTTTAAAGCTTCCTTGTATGAATAATAAGATGCAGTCACCTTCTATTTCGTAGCAAGATGTGTGTCATCTTTTTCCATGTGAATCATCTTTATGATCTGGCATACACACCTATACAATATACATTATGTGTACATTTGTTTGTACCTTCTTCTTCACTAGAAGCTTTAGGTTGGCCGTTCCGCAAGTAGGTCAGCTGCACTTTCCTGTTGATACCTGAGAAATGACCATACCTGGTGGACACACACACATATACACACACAGACACACACACACCAAAGTTTGATATGCACACAGACAGGCAGACAGAATTTTTCCCATCTTCAAGAATTTGGTTGAAATGTTTAACACCAAACACACATCTGACCACGATTCCATGTTTATTACAACACAAGCTTAAAAGAAGAAAAGAACACGGCAACGACTTCTTAAAATCTGGCACACTGGTCATACACACAACAAAGTACCAGTATTAGCAGTCGGTTTAATGATGATTCAGTCACTCAGCAGGTACTCTAGAGTTTAACATTACTGACTTGTAGCTCCAATGGAGCTGTGCATATGGTTTTAGTGTGTAACTGTGTGCGTGTGTGTGTGAGCATAAGAGAGAAAGATAAAGCAAACACAAACACATATCAGGCACTTCCACTTGCCCAGCTGTAATAAGAATTTGGCACATCCTGCAAACTATTGGCCGCATAGTGTTCTCTAATAGACAGGCAGCTGAGCAGACATCTCAAAAAGACACGTGATGATGGACCCTGAACCGGGATAAATAACTGTGGCAGAGAGCCAGAGAATTCGAGCGGGTGAGAGAAGCTCACACTTAAAAATCATAAAGGGAGGGCTTAGTGGATTAGGATGCTTTGTTTCACCCTAAAATAGTCTACAAAGAATGAACAAGGACACATGTGAAAGCAGTCATAGGGCCTTGGAGCTGTAGATGCCGAGAAAAATGTGCTCTAGGGCTATCAGTTTTATGCCAACTTATTAAAAAGAATCAATGTTGTTGTTAATATGCATGTGGAGATCACAAATGTGTCTCTCAAAGTTTTGACACAAAAACATCAGGACATTCTCAACAGTAATGCAAGAGTGCTATGTATAGGGGTTTATTTTAAAATCAGATGAGCTCATGTAAAATGAGGCATGCAAATCCTCAGCTGGGTCGTTATGGTGGAGTATGAGCTAGCAATAAAGTGACAAACATTTTTTCTGAAGTAGATATTTAGCCTTTACTCCCTGGATTTCACGTTTGTAAATCCAACCTCTTAATGACCAACTAAATCTACTAACTTCACGGCATAGAAATGGTTTTATCCTCTAGTTTGGAGCTCTACATTCAGTGCACATTTGTAGGGCTGATTGATTGGTAGGTCAGTTACAGTTATATCCAACCAAATTATCGCAGGTCAAACAGTCACTGTTACATTGATAAGGAGATAAGTGTTACACCAATAGGCTTTCAGGGTAAGCCAGTATTTTTGGGAGCTGAAGGAACAGACTGCCTGTGAACACTCCCACGTTTTCACAGCTTTTAACCTTGACTGAGTGTTTACTCTAAGTTGGCTTCCCTAACCATGTCAATGAAGTTGTTTGTGTGGCTACATTTAACTTGTCTGTGTTGTGTTCCTGTATAGTTGTGCTGCTGGGAGCCCCAGATGATAAAGTTCTATCTGTCAGACATCATGTGAAAATGAGCAGGTCCACACTGGTCTGATTCTGAATCTGTCATTTCTGTATAAAATAAAATGATTCAATAAGCTGCAAATAAACCTATACTTCATTTAGGTTAATAAGGTAGCAGGTAGACTACACTTAGTGCACTGTGGCCCATTTAGTTCATCCTGAGGTGATTCTTTCCTCTGTGACCAATTGATTAGTTGAACAATAGGAACAATATAAGCCGGCAAAGACTGTCTTTGGTTGACTACAGCCCCACAAATACGATCATCTAGTTCTTCTAAATTATTAAATTAATATCCTCCAAGTCTATATGGAGAACAGCACCAGCAAATTACTAAAATGAGCGTAGTAAATGCAGATGAGAGGCAAGAGGAGAGGAGTCCAGCTGATATGTGGTGAGGATAGCATGCACACGAACCAGCACAGCACACACTGATATACACACACAGAACCACAGTGAAATCATCAGAGACATTTGACTGTGTATGTGTCCAGTGTTAATGGCTAAAAATGAATGGGGTTTAATGGAAATGATACAGTCAGTGTACAAAACATTAGGAATACTTTTCAAACATTAATCTAAATGTACACAATCGAGGACTAAACTGTCTTTTTACCTGATTGTACCCCTTCATCTACCATTTTAATGGGTGAAAATAGTGGAAAAAAACTCCCAGCTTTTACCTTGATTCATCGGGTTGATCTGTGTCAGAGAAAGATGTGTAATATTCCTAATACTTTGTACACATTGTCTAGGTTGACTAAAGAAAAGGAGGGTGGTAAAACCTCATCCTTTAAAGTGAGAAGGGAGAGGGTGCGTACTGAGTGTCATTCAAGCTGGATTCCCTTTTGGAGAGAAAGAAGGAAGGATGGGTGGGCAGGAGAGAAGAGAGGTCGAGGAGGGAAGAAAAGATAAAGCAGTTAAAGACAAGACAAGAGGGAGGGAGCGTTCTCATGGTGAACATGTGTGTGGTTGTGAGTAGGAGAAAGATGACTGGACCCTGTTGAAGTGTTGAAAGATGAGGCTAGTTTTGCATCATGAATCGCAGATGCTGCAGAATCCACTGATGGATGATGATGGTGGGAAACAGAAAGGTGATGACTAATGGCGTGTGTTTTTTGTGAGAGGGAGTGTTTGATGTGAATTGTCACTCACATTTCCAGAACTGTCTTGAGTTGCTCCAGTTTGGATTTCTTCTCCTCAATCTCACAGTCATTGTGCTGGCCCAGCTCAACTAGCAGCAGGCGAGCGATATCCAGCACTTCCTGGAAGCACACAGGCTTTTACGTTTCAAGCAACGCTTTGCAGTTGTTTAAAAAGAAAAATGAATCTAATGAAAAACGCATTTGAGGCTTTTATTATCCATCATATTTGATTATGTCACTAATACTTGTCTCTCAGTTTCATTTTCAATTGTTCACATTGAGCATTTTCTAAGAGCTGAGAGATTCATCATGCTGGTACTACAGACACCTTGCTGAAATGGAAACAGTGGAACAAGTAGGCACAAACTGGATAATTATGCTGCGCAGTGTGTCTGAAAAGATGCATACTGCTCTTTATACACACAAAGGCATGTTGGACAAAAGGACACACATTGAGCACGGAGGGCACAGTATGTAATTTCGAACACAGCCACTGAAATTGGAAACTAGAGATATGAATAATTTTTTACATTTTTGTTTAAACATGACACTCTGAAGTAACTATCAAACATGGACACCAATCGTATAGGTCTACGCTTACTCTCAGAGTAAACAAACTCTGAGAATGTCCTGACTGAACAACATTGAACTAAAAAGGCAGGCAAGATGGCAGTTTAAAAATGTTTGATACAATGACAGGATGAATGCAGTGTTTGAGTGGATTTAGACAGCCAATAACAAATATTTAGACAACAAAACAACAATGGTTTGTAATCCATAATAATTAAAAAGGACGATAATTACACGGTGTGATATATGGAAGCATGTCTGTGTACGGCTACAAACCCCTGATTATTGTGAAAAATGATTCAGTCATAATGTGCCAACAAACAGAAACAAACAGGCAGAGGAGAGCGAGCGTGGGAAAAAGAAGAAAGAGGCTACAATCAGCCTCACTCACCTGCAGCTGTTTTGGCTTTTTTAGCTTTAGCTTTCCCGTCTTGTATCCTCCGTACTTGTCAAATAATTCAAAGAATCTGGTTGAATAAAAAGAGCAAAGCAGCAGGATTTACTAACGCAGACACAGTGGGTGAGGGAAACATTGTTCAGGTCACCTGAGTTTTTCTGTGATTAAACTGAAAGAACTGTTGTAAATAAGGAACCACTAAGTATATTAACCCACTGAACACCAAAACCAGGTAGTGAGTTTGAAAGAATCGCCAAAATTAAACTATTAATCAGAACCAGAAGCTGTAAAAAAAAAAAATAGAAAGAATAGTCAGATTTACTTTTCAACAGTCCTTAATGTAATCATTTGTTACTTTATCACTCTATTATTTTGTGTTATATGTCTCATTAAAACAATTGCCAAGAATTGACCATTTGCATTCATCAAATTCTGATCTAAACAAAAGTTTAAGAAGCACTTCTTGACACAACCATGAAACCATAATTATCTCAGCTGCAATAACCAGTCACAAAGTCAGCTGAACTGCAGGCCATGTTTACACAGAGCAAAGAGGATGGAAGATGTATGGAAACATTAAAAAGTAAGTAGTACAATACTTATATATATATGGTACGGTTTCCTCACAATTAAACATAAGACCAAACTCTCCCGCACAGTAAACCAGGCCAGCAAAATCATTGGATCACCACAACCCCCCCTGGCAGAACTGTACAGCCGATCTGTGATTAGGAAGGCCACCCTGATCACCGAAGACCCTTCCCACCCCCTCCACCACTGCTTCCAGCTGCTGCCATCAGGCAAAAGATACAAGGTTCCACTGGCCCGGAAAAACATCTATAAAAAATCATTCATTCCCACTGCAGTAACCACTCTTAATAGCCGGAAATGAACACTTTGCTGTTTTTAACTGCCCCTAACGTCCTTTTAATTATGGCTGTACTTGTATGTTGTTTTAAATGTGTTTGTGTTTATGCCTGTCAAAGAAAAATTTCTGTCACTTGTGACAGACAATAAAGTTTATCTTATCTTATCTTATCTTATAGTATGTAGAGTCCCTGTATTTTTTCACTTTTTGTAACACAGTGTAACACATAAATCTGTCCTCACATTGATTGTTGGACAAAAGTATTTCACAACAAGCTAAACATTTAGCTGAATGGTTGTACTCGCTGAGAGAAGGAGAGACATGTTAGGGTCAAATCCAGGAGACTTACCGAGGATGCCGAACCTCCATTTTCATCTTTTGCTTTGGTGTGCGATCACCATGTCGGATGATGGCAATAACACAGCGCAGCTCCATCCTGAAAAAATTAGAGGATGTGACAGGATGAGATTTTTAAAAAAAAGTATTTTTTTAGCCATCACTCATTGGCTTTAACAGAAATACTGGTGTTCATCGAGAGTGCCACTGATATCAGTGGAACAGATGAGGCTTCACAGTGAGGGAAGACTGAGTTTTCAAGTGTGAGAGGAAGTCAGTGGGTGAGTGATCCCGATTACTCTGTGTTAATGTGTGAGGAGTGTTTTCCAGTAGCATTGTTTATCCAAACTAATTTTCTGAAGCACGTGTGTCCTGTTGGAAATTTGCATAATCCAAACACGACATGTTTTTCAGCATAAACTTGACTCAGAATGACAAAAACATTTATTCAAATTAGTTGTAAGTAAATAGGTCATGGTGAAGTGATATATTTTAAAAGTGAATAGCCTTTATTTAACAATGAATTTTGTAACATTTAACGCATAGTTTTCCAAGCAATATTTTGTTTTTCAGTCCGTACATCGTTCCTGAGGTTGTTGGGACGATGGGGATGTCTTCAGCTTCCATGGGGATGGACCAGGGGATGTGGAACTGGGGGGCCAACTCCCTCATTACCATGTTCCTGGTGAGACAGACAAAAACAATAACGCACTTAAAAAGTGCATTGAATTAGGCTAAAAGACACATACTACACAGGAAAAGGACAAAGGCAAATAGATACGTCATTCATTCTGCAGGGCCTTCCTTGTGCCAGCCAGATTAATTTTAATATTTTGACTCAATGTCCAAAGTTGTATCTCAGATTTCACTGGTGATACTGTATGTTATAGTGCAACCAAAAAATATCCTGTTAACTTTGTGCTTGCACACAGCTTGATCCTGTCTTATAGGGGAGAAAAAATCGGTAGAGAGCTTTGCCACCTGAACATGAGCATCCATCACTGAAGGGAAGCTACATTTCCTGTCTTACAGCTTCAATTTGTAAAATTTATGACTAGTAATGCATCAGTTACTTAGTCTGGAAGAGAGGTGATAAATCAAAAACAAAATATGTTGTAAAACCGACAGCAGGACCCTCAAAGCTGTCCAGACTGCTGATAAATTAATGCATGACAGCGTGAAGGCAATATTTAGTTTAAAGCTACAGCAAGAAAATCCTACCGAGGGCCAGACATGTCGGGTAACTCTGAACTAAAGAGAGACTACTGCACAGCAGGATATAGACACATGATCACTACTCTTTTTGTATTTACACATTTTTACGTTTCCTCTGGGTTCTGGATTGGCTTTTGATGTCGTTATTTTTTCACTGCATTGTTATCCATTATCGATACACCACTTAGGACAGGTCACCAGTCTATCACAGGGCCACACTTAGACACAGACAAACAAGCACACTCACATTCACACCTACAGACATTTTAGAATCACTCAATTAACCATTAATCAATTAACCTCAACATGTTTTTGGACCGTGTGGGAGGAAGCCGGAGAATCCGGAGAGAACTCACGCTGCACGGGGAGAACATGCAAACTCCACTGAGCCACCTTGCAGCCCTGCATTGTTATTATATTGTATATTTATTTTCAAAAGCTTTATAACATATACTTTGCGACCAACTATCTGTGCTTGTATTTCCTGTATTTCCTGTTTTGGTGGTCTCAAATTGTATTGATGCATCGCGACAGTTCAGTGTTTAAGAGTGTGTAACATATGGTCACCTACCCCAGGACTTTGGCACAGTCGTCGTAGTATTTCATTGAGTTCTTGACAAAGCTGAAGCCGTTAACATCACAGACAAAGGAATGGCCGTTGGCTCTGAGCAGGTCGAATCCACATACTGTTTGCTAAAAATCACACAAAAAAGGGCTTAAAGTAAAGGAGAAAACACAGAACTTCGAAGGTAAAGGATGAGAACAACAGAACAGACTAAATGTAGATGGCGTCTGGAATGATGATTTGTGGAGCGCAGTCATAGTAGATTGAGTGAACATTTGGCAAAAAGCACATCAACATTAAAGCAGAAACCACAAACCAAAACTCAAGCCATTTTAACGACTGAGACGCAACTTTTTTTCCTTTAACTTTTAATGAATTCTTTTAATTTTACATTTGGCTCATAATAAAGTCAAACAACTTGCCTTTGGGAAAAATGTATAACACACATAATCACAATACTAAAAGCTGTACTTACAATAAAAAGGACTCATGAATAAAAGATTTTCTTGTGCCTTGTGCTGTAGTTCTATTTATTTATTTGTTGGGAGTTCAGTGTGCTTTTTTAAATTATTATTATTATTATTATTCACTGAGTCATCCTTAATGAGCTAAAGGTGTTAATGGAGTCAGCACCAGCAGTCCTCCCTGTTTGTTCACTGTTTTGTTGTTTACTACACTGTACTATGTTGCTCAGAACAGTGATGTGAATAATTATCACGGCAATAGGTTTTAGGACAAAAAGCCTTTCAGCGGCTCCCATTCAACAACAACCTTTGCATAATATTATTTATTTATTTTGGAGGCTCCACAAACACAGCCTGCAATAGCAAAAAAAAAAGAAAGAAAAAAAATCACAAAAAGTCCCTGAATTTCTGTCACGTTTGTTGGTCAAAGCTGTGTCCCTAATGGTTTAAGGCTGCACCATGGAGCGCAGTTTCCTAAAGGAACAGAACATCACAGAGTAGTTCAAGGACTGTAGGAAAGTTCAAAATGGGACGATTCTCTCTGTTTTTATAGTGTCTGGCTCTGATAACGGAGCAATATTATCAATATTTTAAAAAAAAAAGACAACATGCCTTTCACTGCCAGCCAGTTCAAAAGATACCTAGCACAGTTTCTGACCACTAACGGCAGATGCAGCAGTGAACACAGACAAGAAAAAGCACCAAAAGTCAATAAATAATGCAGTCCTTAAAAGAATGCAGTGTTTTTCACCATCTTTAACATAGGTCTTTTCCTTGTTTTTAAGTGATTCTGCTTTTCCTTCAAACATGGTGACTCTTGTGATTCCATTTTACCTTAAAGGCCAGGCAGACCTTGCGGGCCACCAGTTTCTCCATAGCAGTCAGCATGACGGGGTAACGGATCTCCTTCCCCTCACTGTCCCTCTCTACCTTCCCATCCAGCGCTGGAGACTTCCTGGCCTCAGCATGGGCATAGTCAGGGCCCACTGTGTAAACCTGGGACACACACAGGCCAAAGAAAACAGAAAACGTCTCAGAGCAGATGATACTGAATGTCAATATGTTACTCACCGGATTTACCAGAATGAGCCACTACAGTCAAAACCAGCTCAACAAGGTATAAACTTCTACCAAAAACAGCCGATCTAAGATTCACAGTACCTTCACATCAGTACCATCTGTTGGCATGAACTCCTCGTAGATGTAGGATCCAGTCTTTCGTACGCTGCTTTCTGGGGAGTACACACTGCTACGACTCCCTATCTACAAAAAAAGAGACAGAGGAAGAATGACAAAGAAAGGCATTATGAAGGTATTTAGGTTATATGACATCATTACCCAACCTTTACAATGGGTATGCAGTTTTGATTGGTCCATTACCCAAAAGCTAAGCCTGCTGCAGTTACACACACAGCTTGTCATTAAAATAAAGAAGTGAAACACATTACACCATCATATTATTCATTGACAATAGGGACAGTAAATCTTCAATATCCATCCATCTATTTATCATCCATCCACCGCTTAATCCTCATTAGGGTTGCGGGGGGCTGAAGCATATCCCAGCCGTCTTACGGTGAAGAGAGGGGACACCCTGGACAGGTCGCCAGGCTATCACAAGGCCACACTTAGAGACAGACAACCAAGCACACTCACATTCACACCTACGGACAATTGAGAATCACCAATTAACCTCAACATGTTTTTGGACTGTTGGAAGAAGCCGGAGAACCCGGACAGAACCCACGCTGCACGCTGAACATGCAAACTCCACGCAGAAAGATCTCGGTGCTCCCATCGGGACGCAAACCGGCAACCTTCTTGCTGCGAGGCAACAGTGCTAACCAACTGCGCCACTTTGCAGCCCAATCTTCAATGTATTAAGTTAAATAATTATCATAATTATCTATGAATGGCAGAGTTTAGACATCAGTGTGTCTTTCAGAACTCTGAATCTCCGATTTCCCTTTTCCACCAAGAAGAATCAGGTGCTAGTTCATTGCTGGTGCTAGTGCCGGTGCTAAGTTGGTTCAAATCTGGCATCTCCTAAGAACCTGTTTGCTTTTCTATTGGCAAGAAGCCAAGTATGTCACTGCATACATTGTCGTTTCTGGTCCCGCAGTCCTTTTACAGTTTCTTGAGTTTATTGAGGCGTTGGTCGAGGCTCCACTCGTATCCGGCTGCAGGATACTGCAGCTGCTGGATTTTTTCGAACACAGGTTTGGTCCAAGAGGCTCCCTTTAACTTAATTTGGATTTCAGTTGAAGACCACAGTGCCAGGAAGCACTGGGCCTCTTCCTCAGACCACTGCTGCTTGGATTTGGCATATATTTTTACTGATTTAGTTTTTCAAAAATGTAGCTACTCGCTTGGCTGTTGTTTTAAAAATCCCAGTTCTGTGTTTCCACTGGTCTCGGTTGGTCATAACAACCCCATCTCCAGCCCCTGGTGTACGCAGTTCTTAGCTCTGGCCTAGCAAGGAGTTGGTGCTTGCTAAGCACCAGTTTTAAGAACCTGGAGACAGTGCTTACGTGGTGGAAACACAAAGAATTGGTGCTAAGTCAGGCACTGGCTTTGAACTAGCACTGGAACCAGCTCGGTCGAAAAGGAGCATGAATAAGGCTGTTCAACAGTGATGCTTTTCCCTCTTAGCTTGAGAGATAGTTACCTTTCTGAAGAGTCTCTGGCTGCCTCCTCCTGCAGATGTTGGGTAATAGATGTAGACGTTGTGGTCCTCTGCACACACAGGTTTCTCCACAAAGGGTTTTGGGAACACCTCCCCGTTCACCTCAACATGGTCCTCTCCCTCCACCAGGTTACACTCTGCAAGACAGGGAAAGACTTAGGTTCTTAATTCAATTTATCAGAAAGTCTTTAAGACCAATACAATACAAGAACAATGTCAAAAAGCAACAGTGATGCCACAGGCAGGGAAAATTCACACATTTACAAATTACATAAATATGAAGTCACATCTGGGATTTGAACCACTTGACCAGTTGGTTACTGACTGTCTTTAACTGTGAGGAGATTGAAAGCAGTAGTACACAAACAAGCATCCAATTTTGATTTCAGACAGCAAAAAGTTTGGAAAATTCTCCCTAATTTTCTCGATCTTGTGTTGACCAGTGGAAGTAAAAGCATTAGCACATTATTAGGTTACTGATGTCCTGTCCTAATTCTCTAGAGAGATACATCATCTCATAGATTGGTCATGGAATAGAAGTTTATCTCCACAAATACCCTTTTTAACACAAAGTAAAAACTGTTGCTCACCTTCAGGATTGTCAGGGTCTCGGTTTAACACAGCATAACGAGGTAGATCAATGCCCTCTTCTTGTAGGATCCGATACACTTCCCTCCTGGTTGGGAATCAAACACCGTTATAGATAACCTCTGAGAGCAAGACCCATAGTGATTTTACGTAATGCGAGTGGCTGTAGTGTGTGTGTTACCATAGTTGGGCAGTTAAAATAGAATACAGTATATCAGGCATGTGCTAAGAACAATGATGTCAGTTACATTTTGATCACATGACCACTCGCTCGTCTGATTAGGTAGGAAAAAATTTACAAGTGCAAACAAGTTGGTCGCATAAAAGAATTTGGCAATTACAATTTCTGTTTGGCAGGAAAAGACAGTGAACTCAGTGAAGGCGTGTGTTTTACATTTGGAATGTGACAGTCAATAATGCAAATATTTACAAATTATTCCCATCTCACCTGCAAACTGCTGCAAGAATAAGCTTGTTGTGTGGTTTAACTGACGCAAAGACTCTTGTTAGGAACACAGTCAGATCCAAAAAAGGATTACTTACTTTTAATTTTCATGGATTGAATAAGAGGTACTCTGATCATTTTAGGGTGATTTCGATACTTTGGTTTTCACAGAACAGTTTTACCAAAAAACAAAGTCCCCTTACAATGGCTTTCGTTCCTACTGTTGGCCATTAAGACTCATCCTACTGGTTCAGAGATGCAATGAGGGAGAGACTCACCACTTAAAGAATCCTGAATAGAAAATTATTGGAAATTCTGTAACGCCAAAGATGGAGGCTGACATATGTCCTGCCCCACTCTCCAAATTGTCTGCTTTGTAACAGCCGAGCAGGGAAACATCCAGCAAATAATGTTGCTGCACTGATTCATGGACAGTGTCATGATAATGTGTGCATGCATAGAAGAATATCATCTGAGGTTAAAAAAAAGATTTTGAAACCTTTTATGGGGCAAAGTTACCATAGTTTTTAAGACGTTTTTGTCAGATATGACTTGTGGCTCTTATCCCGTTCACTTAAACAAAAGCCTGGTGTTCTTAGCCCTCAAAAAGTGCCTCAGGTTTAGTAAGGTGGCTGAGACTTTCCTATAGGGAAACTGAGATTGAGATCCATGACCCAACATAAATCTTGCAGGAGTGGGAAGTTTTAACTAGTAGGAGCAGGTTGTCAACAAATAAACTGTGGATCACAGGATTTATCGCAACCACAAGGATGGAGTCAAGAAATGACAATAAAAAGAAGATTAAAGCAGATAATTATCATACAAAAATCAAAGCAAGGAAAGCTTGCGTGATTAAATATCCCGGTTGTTACAGACACAGATGGAACATAATTGGACTTTGTTTCGCAAAATATGCAAAGCATTACAATAAAACAGGCACAAATCTGCCACCTGTAGCGCTCCTTCAAAGATAAAGTGCTACTTCCTGCACATCCATCCATCCATTATCTATACACCGCTCAATCCTCACTAGGGTCGCGGGGGGGCCGGAGCCCATCTCAGCCGACTTAGGGCGAAGGCAGGGGACACCCTGGACAGGTCTGCTTCCTGCACATACTAAACAAAATACTACTGAGTAATATATGAAATGTGTACTTAGTGCTCTGGAGCACCAAGTTATAAACTTATTCATTTTGCTACATTAACACCAACAAGTATGAATCTTTTTATCAATACAAGTTATTAAAAGAATGTGTCTTCACTGTGAGACAGTAGAAGACATAAAATCATTACAACTTTATATTGTGCAGGTGTGAATGGTGAGTGCAGGCAGGAGTGAACACACACATTATTGGAACTGGCAGAAAACCTGAATTGAGATTAAGAAAACAGTCCTGCACATGTCCTGTGGCCACTATCTTATTAGGATACATATTTTTTTTCAAAATTAGCTTTAGATTTTTAAACATTCAGCCTTTTCCATGTTTGTCTGTTAAAACTGTACCTGTCCTGAATGAAATACTGCATGTTGAGATCATTGATGAGCAGTGGATTCCTGAGCTTGGCATATTCCACAGCTTTGTCCAGAGGGAAACCTGGAAAATAGAAAGTACATCAGCCCATACAGCATATATTCATCTATCCAAGCTCGACCAGCATTCAAACATAGCTGATGTTATGATGGTGATTTTTGACAGAGAGTGAACCAACTATATTAGCTTCACCATATTCAATAATCATTACAGTTTTGGCTGGTTGTATGTTTTACTCATCTTATTTATTTCAAGAGAAGAAACATCTACTGCAAGGACTCTAAATGCTAAACTTTTCCAGTGTGACTAAAATGTTAATTCACCCAGGGTCAGTCATTTTTAAAAAAAAAAAAAAAAAGGGTCTTAATTTAATGTTTCTTATGGGATGTTACCAGGTTCAAGGATTTTGGTGGCCTACAGTTGTACACTTAATAATCCATGAAGCCGCCCATTTAATGTTGTTGGCTTGCTATAATACTCATGTTCATGGTTTCATATCATCACATATGGGGTAGGCTGTTCATTTCATTTAAATACAGTTAGCAAATTACAGATGTTCTACATTCTCTGTACTGCTTCGCCTGTGAGCACAACACACGTGTCTGTATGAAATATTGGCCTTCTTTCTTTCCAATAATAACAGCATGGGATTCATATATTCCCCTGGCTTTAGCAACACTCCAAACACTACATTAAATTAAAAATAGAGTGGAAAAAACATGTCCCTTGTGACAAACTGATCTGACTCAAACTCATTGAGTCAGAAGGAAAAATCTGGCTTGCGGAGGCCTGAACGCCACAGATCTCTGAAGGGGTTCTGTGGTATCAAGCACCAAGATTCTAGCAGCAGATCCTTTAAGTCCTGGAAGCTGCACGGTGGGATCTCAATGGATCAGACTTATTTTTCCAGCACATACAACAGATATTCGATCAGATTGAGATTTGGGGAATGTGGAGGCCAAGTCACCACCTTGAACTCTTTGTCATAATCCTCAAAACTTTATTGAACAACATTTGCAGTGTGATAGGGAACACTATCCTATTGAAAGAGAATACTGTGTACAAAGGGGTTTATATGGTCTGCGACAATGTCAAAACAGGTGGTCCATATCAGTGCAACATCTACATGAATGACAAGACCCAACATTTTCTAGCAGAACATGGCCCAGAGAAACACACCCTTCACCAGCCTGCTTTCTTCTGATTATGTGCATCCTGCTGCCACCCACATGTCGACAGAGCTATATACGCAGCAAGATGCAATGCACTGCGTGCTCTGACACCCTTCTATAACAGCAGCACTAAGGTTTTCAGCAGTTTGCGAAACGGTAGCTGTTCTGTGGGATCACACCACAGAGACCAGCCTAAAATCTCCATAAACACATCAGTGAGCCTTAGGCCTCCATGAGTCTGTTGCTGGTTGCCAATTGAGCGACTGTCCTTTCTTGGAACACGTTTGGTAGCACTAACCAGCCCACAACATGTGCTCTTTTGGAGATGCTCTGATCCAGTCATCAAGACATCACAGTTTGTCAAAGTCACTCACATCCTTATGCTTGCCCTAGTTCCTGCTTTTACCTGAAGGAACCGACTGCTCACTTGCTGCCTAATATATGTCACCTCTCGACAGGTGCCATGTTTGAACTCTTATTACTTAAATGCATGTGTGTGCCACAAGTATTGATCATTTACACACGTGGACAAAATTGTTGGTACCCCTCGGTTAATGAAAGAAAAACCCACAATGGCCACAGAAATAACTTGAATCTGACAAAAGTACTAATAAAAAAAAATTCAATAAAAATTAACCAATGAAATCAGACATTGCTTTTGAACCATGTTCTAACAGAATTATTTTTAAAAATAAACTCATGAAATAGGCCTGGACAAAAATGACGGTACCCGTAACTTAATATTGTGTTGCACAACCTTTTGAGGCAATCACTGCAATCAAGCGATTTCTGTAACTGTCAATGAGATTTGTGCACCTCTCAGCAGGTATTCTGGCCCACTCCTCATGAGCAGACTGCTCCAGTTGTCTCAGGTTTGAAGGGTGCCTTCTCCAGCCGGCATCTGTTGAACATCTGTTCAACAGGATTCAGATCAGGGCTCATAGAAGGCCACTTCAGAATAGTCCACTGTTTTCCTCTTAGCCATTTTTGGGTGTTTTTAGCTGTGTTTTGGGTCATCATCCTGTTGCAAGACCCATGACCTGTGACTGAGACCAAGCTTTCTGACACTGGGCAACACATTTCTCTCTAGAATACCTTGATAGTCTTGAGATTTCATTGGACCCTGCACAGATTCAAGACACCCTGTGCCAGATGCAGCAAAGCAGCCCCAGAACATAACAGAGCCTCCTCCATGTTTCACAGTAGGGACAGTGTTCTTTTCTTTTTATGTTTCATTTTTGCATCTGTGAGGATGGAGCTGATGTGCCTTGCCAAAAAGTTCTAGTTTTGTCTCGTCTGTCCATAGGACATGTTCAGGGAGGTTGGCTACAGTCCCATGGATGTTAAATTTCTGAATAATATGTGCAACTGTAGTCACAGGAACATCAAGCTGCTTGGAGATGGTCTTATAGCCTTTACCTTTAACATGCTTGTCCATAATTTTCTTTCTAATCTCCTGAGACAACTCTCTCCTTCGCTTCCTCTGCTCCATGTTTAGTGTGGTACACACCATGTCACCAAGCAGCACAGTGACTACTTGTAACCCTATAAATAAGCCAACTGACTGATTACAAGTTTGTAGACACCTGTGATGCTAATTAGAGGACACACCTTGATTGAACATGTCCCTATGGTAACATTATTTTCAGTCTTTTCTAGGGGTACCATCATTTTTGTCCAGGCCTGTTTCATGAGTTTATTTTTTTAAATAATTCTGTTAAACCACAGTTCAAAAGCAATGTCTAATTTTCATTGCTTAATTTTCATAGAATTTTTATTTATTATTACTTTTGTCAGATTCAAGTTATTTCTTTAACCGGTGTGGGTTTTTCTTTCATTAACCGAGGGGTACCAACAATTTTGTCCACATGTGTAAGATACATGGAGAGGTGCATCGATCGTATTTGTCTGGGAATCCTTTTTTAACCACACATGGTAGCCTCAGGACTAAAATTCGTTACAAGCCTTAAAAGGATATTTCCAGTCCCAGAGGTCTCTTTGTTGCCCATTGACACGCTCCCATAAAACGGTGCTGGTTCCTGTCAGCCTGACTCAAACCTGGCATGCGCTCTAAAATACGGTGAAGCTTTTTTTTTTGGTATCTGTATTTCTCACGAGAATATGGAACATTTATTTTTAGAGAACAGATTTATATTCTACTACACAAAGAGACTGGAATTTAATTTTAATCAAACTTCAGATGCCCATTTCAGTATGATGATAAACTGGTTTCTGCAGCAGGGAAGCATCTTTCTCCTTAAACCTAAATTTAATGTTTCTGACAAATTAAATTACAAAATTTCAGAACAGTCATGCTTGTCTTATTTTTTACTGTTGCACTCTTCTGTTACATCAAGGCTATCTGTGGTCACAATCAACCAGGTAATTTGTTCTTGCATAGAAAAATACGATTTAATCACAAGTATGAAAAGTCAACATAAACCTGGAGGGTGACTTACACATGTCCTGCAGGCGAAGTTACTCAAACAACAATCCTCTATAAACCATTAAACACCTGGCCACGTTTCCCATCCACCTTCCCGTCACCACTAACTCTAACAGGACGCTATTAACAACTGTAAACTTTACCTTTGGAGTGGAAGGAGATGAGGCAGTCGCAAAGGGGCCATCTCTCCACAGGTTCCTCTAGGATCACCTCCTCGGGAAATATGACTACATCAATGTAGTCGAACTTACAAAGACGCTCCAAGATCTGAGTCATGGGCTTGGATTTGGATTTCTTCATCATGGCACATATGCCAACCACAATCTGTCGCTCTGACGGCTGGTGGAGGGGAAAGAGAGGAAGAAGGCAGAGAAGATAAAAGACTAAGAGATGAAAGGCATCATTAACAACTGAGAAAATGCCAAAGTGGCTGGACAGTGTAATAATCATCAATAATGTGAATTTTCAGCTGATGACTCTGCTACCTTTAGAGATTAAAAACAAAACAGCACACAAAGAAGCAAAACCGGTTCAAGTTTCATCAACATGCTAAAAGCTCTGCTTTACCAAAAAAGAAAAAAAGAGAGATTTAACAGAGTCCTGATTTTTTTTAAAGAAAAAAGAAAGAACAACGCTCTACTTTGGCTCTGATGCAGAAACCTGTTTATCTGTAGTCTTTCTGTGGTGTCAGACAATGTTCCACCCTCAGTCCTATCTGACTGGTTACATGTGAGGAGTAACAGCATATAAACACCGAATGGACAAATGCTGAAAACTTCTATTTCAATTAATCATAAGGAAAATGAACATGGGAATTTAAACAAAGTTTTGTTTTAGAGTTTGATATCAAGATTTCAGTTTTACTGCAAATGTACGTCAGTTCCACATCAGTCTTCTTGATGCCTAATAATCGGTATCAACCTTGGAAAAATCCGTATTGGCTGGCCTGAAAAGTCCAGTTTTGACTGCTGCTGCTTGAAGTCTGATAATATAGAACTGAGCCTGGCCTGTGTAAGAGGCCCAAAAAGCACCACTGTACAGGAGACCATCCATTATAATTTAGCTAACAATGTGACCTTTCGACAAGCCAAACTTTGAATCACTTTCCCTCCTCTGTTAAGGACCTTTCCTTTTTTTTTTAAGAAACTCAAGTTTTTCCTGGATAATGAGCTCTTCATTTTCTGTGGTCCACTGGCATGACTGTGGACGCTTATCAGACCACTTAGTCAGTAATTACTCCTTTTGAAACCTGAAAGTATCTCCATTGTTGCAGCTGTATTAAAGCCTTTGAAATTCATTAATTTTTGCAAAAAAACTTCACCACTAAGGATCTTTATCACATCCATATGAAATGTAATGATTTACAAGATTATTTCACAAAGTTTTTTTTTTTTTTTTCATTAATAAGATGCTGTTACTAGACTTGCTGTGCTGCTGTCCTGTTAAACAAATGCCAGTTGTTGGGCTGACAGACAGTTTAAGAATCAACTGAACCAGCTGAAGATGAAAAATAAAGACACACAGAACACAGAGACAAACCATAGCTGGTGATCAAACAGCTAACACAGCACCACCTTGAAGTCCTTTTATAGCAACATAAGCACACAACAGCCCAGAGGTCCTACAGTTGTTTATCTACTGCACTGTTCTCCTGCCAATCTTTGTATATTTTTGTCTCTGTTTCTTTTTCCACTATCCAGCCTCAAATAAAACTTTCCTCTTTATATGTGTAGGCTTGTTTACATCCTACTGTCTAAAAATTACAATTACTGTAGGTTCTTATTCTGTTACAAAAATGAATACTCTTTTTTCCAGTGTAAGTGAACAATTACTAGAAAATATGTGCAACTAATATTAATGCTAGTCACAGAATTTACAAGAGTTTTTGTAATAGGTGACTCAACAGTTGGTCATTTCCATATTCTTTGAATTAAAAACAAAAGGTGACACAACAACAAATTACTACGACACACTTATTGTGTAACTGTACACTAGAGAACTTCCCTCTCTGCTGTGTGTACACCTGAATTTACACCTGTTACTTACCGACTCATCTTCATCATCCTCCATTTCCTCTTCTCGAAACATCTCGTTCTTCATGCCTGCTTCCATTTGGCCCACGTCCTGTTCGTCATCTTCACAGCCAACCACAAACAGAGGAACGTCTCTGTGACTCCGCCCCTGTTCTTCCCCTGGTCCTGGTCCGTCGCAGGGCTCGGACATCACAAACCCTGGCGTAACATGGCTGCTTCAGGAGGCCCCTCCCCGCAGGGAGTCAGATAACAGTGATGGCTGCTGAGCAGGAAGAAACCCAGTCGAGCGTGTTACACCGAGGCTGGATGACTGACACCTAAGAGCCTGGTGATAAAGTGAAGGGTCTGTTGGCGTTTCTGAGCTGGCTGATAACGACTTTGACACAGTGCGTGTGTGTACAGAACGTGCTGAGGTAGAAAAAGAGCAGCAGATGTCTGAAGAGGTAGAAAAGAGGGAGTGGACTCCACGTGTGTTGAGGTAGACAATCAGGATCCTGGGTGTACAACTCCCTGTGTCAGGACAGAGGATGTTTGGGAGAAAACATGTTGCTGCCTACGAGCGCTTCTTCACACAGGTCAACATTTGCACACCATTTTTCTTGCCCTAGGAAAAAAAAATGACACGAAAGAAATTAGAGAAACTTGTTGAGCAACCAGTTCAAAAAACAGTTCAAATACACAATAGGGTACAACCTGCCTAACTGCAGGGGCACACGGGTGTGTGAGTGAACTAAATAAACTGACCTGAAAAACCACAGTACTGGTTGGTGCAGTGTTGCTACATCTACCATTTGTGAAATAAATGTCAGGGTTGTAACATGAGCTACACAATAGAGGAGAAACTTCATTGATTCCTGAGGAAACTGGCTTGTTGCAACACTGGAGTCAAAATACATTTTACAGTTCTGGATTTTCATGAGAAAGACTTCCTGTTTCGTTCACTACTGGAATATTTAATTGTTTGATAACTGTAATTTATTTACTGATTATTCAATAGTCCACAGTCAAATGGAATTTACAGATATTTGAGGTATTTGCATTAAGAGATATTCACAACAGTTAAGCCAGAATAATGGACATTACAAGTAGAGGATGAGATAAAATGATACTTCTGCTTTTTAAATGAGCGGTCCTTAAAACAAAATTCACATCCTGCAAAATTTAGGCCTCATTTTTATATAATATCTAAGGATAACATGTCAGAACTACAGATGCACGATACTACATGTTTGCCAATATCCAGTATGCTCAATGTGCTCATATTTTTTATGTCATTTTGACTGATTGCCAATAAGAATATCTTTAGATTTTTTTCATTGAACTGCAGGCAGAAAACTTCAGGTCACTCCTTATTTAAAATTGACTCTATTATAATTTCCATTTAACTATTATGGTACACTGGCAGGGGCAAACTTAAAATACTATGCATTTCAACTGTACAAATACAAATAAGAAAACTTCTTAAACACACAAGCAGAATATGCCAGACTGATTCTTATCTGCCTGTCCATGTTCAATTTGGACTGATGCTGAAATTTCATTTTAAAGCCTTTAAAAACATGCATCCTAATGAGAAGGCTGAAAGAGCTGATTAATTATTTAAAGAAAGACACTGGTAGATGAGAAACATTAGAGCAAACAGATAATAAGGAGAATTTAATACCACATTGATAATGCAGTTATTGAAATCAATGCCAGCTTTATTCTTGTTGTGTACAGTCCTATGAAATGTTGAAATCAGATTCAATTATTGGGCTGTTTGAACTTTTATCTGTCCTTCACATCAAAAAGCGTGGCTTCAACCAGTTTAATCAAGACAGGCCCATGCATTACTTGGATTTCAGTTAGAGTTAGACTCCTCTGGGCAAAACGAGCATCAGGATCATTTCCATCAATGGCCCTTCATTTTCTAGTCAATATCACCCACCAGTAACACACGTTTATTACAGACAACAACATCATTTACTCCACATGAACCTACTGATGACTTATTCATTTCTCAAAGAGTCCATGCTTGCTGTGTGCCATCACCATGACGACTGAACAGTCTAAACTGGAGCCAGACTGCCCCTCTACTGTGTTGTGTATGTACCCTGCATTACTCTGATTTGCATTTCTCTTTTCAGACAGACTCAATTATCAAACTGCCTTGATGCAAGCAGTCATTTTTACCATCATTATTACATCATGACAATTTGGGTTCTATTTCATCCCTGCTGACTGCCAGAGGTGGTGCTTTAAGCACTGAATATTCCCCTTCGCCCATGCGCAGTTCGAGTATGAATACCAACAATGTCACCTGTGACACCTGGATGACCCCGGGGGAGACTATATCTTCCGGTGTCATCAGAGTATCTGCTCCTTTTCATCTTCTGGCGCGCAGATCGCTATCGCTCTGATAGCGTTATCCAAAGCCGCATTACGGAAAGCTCATCTACTTTCCGTCGCTTTGTAGCTCCGTGACTGTGTTGGTCGGGGCGGCGGACTTTTCTCTCCCCCCCTGGCGGTCAGCAGGGATGAAATAGAACTAAAGTTACGAATGTAACTATAGTTCTATGAATCCCGAATGCCCGCCAGAGCACTCTATCACTCAGAATCCCCGTGTTCTCGCGAGAAGATTCTGTAGGAACAGATACTCTGATGACACTGGAAGATATAGTCTCCCCCGGGGTCATCCAGGTGTCACAGGTGACATTGTTGGTATTCATACTCGAACTGCGCATGCGCGAAGGGGAATATTCAGTGCAAAAAAACAATTATGACTTAATGGCTAATCAGTAATCAAAATTATTGCACATTACTTGATTAAAAATGGTCCAAAGTAAATGTGAAAGCAACACATTCAACGGTGGTACAAAAGTCATTCCAAGTCATTCATAGTCTGCTACACAGAACATGCTGCTGCTCCCAACCTGTAGCCTTTCCTGTAGGCTACAGCAAACAGCACCATGAGTGTACACAGTTAAACTACAATACAGATGTTCCTTTTATGAATTTATGTAAATGTTTATTTTGTCCATGGATCTTTGTAAGGAAAAAAAAAACTCACTCTGAGTTGGTTTGCTGTTCTTTCTATAGAGTTTATGGCTGTTTATGGCTTTTCACAGTCCTGCTTCACCTACTAACATAACTATGAAGCTGATTCTGCAATTGTTTTTGAAATTTCCACTTCAGTGTTGCTGTTTTTTTACGCAGAGGCATACAAGGAAATAGGAACAAAAACATCTGCTGTCTGCTGTTTTACTGATTAAGCAGCATTCTGATTATTTTAATTAGCAAACACACCATTAAAACGCAGCTACTGCTTCAAATACATAAGTCAAGAAAAAAAACTGCTGACAAGGCACTAAATGCAAACAAACTGCAAACACAAGAAGTGCAAGTAAAACTCATGAACACAGGGGAAAAAAGGGGGAACTGATATATCTAAAATGTCACAGGGTTACAAGAACTTTTACTTTCTCTTTAGGCTTTTTTTGTGATTCAAAACAAGTCTGGTGGGCGACTACAAAGGCTGAGCAAGCAATGGGTTTCAAATCAACGTCGTGATTAAAAACAATCAGTTAACATAGCAAATCTGCAATTTGCTGTTTTTTTTATAAATTCATGCTGTCCTTCATGTGACACAGTCAGGCCTTTGATGACATCTCAAGTGGTAATATTCCATCACATGTTCCAAATCCGTTACACAGTAAATACTGAACTGAAACCGCAAATCAAATCGCAATACACATCAGAAAAAAAATGCAGATGGATATTTACGCCAAATCGTTCAGCCCTTGTGACTGTGCATTGCAGTATGCATAATCAGTCTGTCTACTCTGTATTTGATAGAACTATATTCAATTACCTGTTATCTTTTTTTAAATTGATGAACAGAACATTTGTATATACTTTATACGTAAATTACATCTTAATTAACAAAACTGGTAGACAAAAAAAGGACTTGTTATTTTTTGTTCTTATTTCTTATGATTTGGGTTCTGGTAATATTCCTTCAGTGCTAAAAATCTCCCTGGGGATGCCAAAAATGAATCTTTGCTTGATGTACATTGGCGTCAGAATGACTGTCTACTAAGAAAACTCTCAGCGTTCGAAGAAGGTTTCTGCAAGAGTCCTTGTTATAAAACAAAAATTGTCCTGCGCAAGCACAACAACTGTCGAAATTATTTTTCAAACGTAGAAGCAACACACAACTGAACACTTAGCTGCAAAATCATATACAAACACACTCGAGCAACAGAAGTTGGGCAGTTTCTTCTTTAGGATATCATTCTAGAAATCCACGATTTGTTTACCTGTGAACAATGGTCAAGATTAAAACATGTGCAGGTATGACGGGTGTGTGTGGTCACTGCTCATCTGTTATGTGATCCGACACTGCACAACAACGAAACAAAGCTGCTGTGTCATTCACCCGTAACTGAGCCAAAGCCCCTGAGCAATGTGTGATATGAAGCCAAGCGAGAAGAAACTGACTGATGAATGCAACACTCCACATGGCCAAATCCAGCTCATGTGTCTCATCAGTATAAACACTACCACCATGACCCCTCCACCGATGCCAAACAGCTGACTCGAGGGGAAAAGCCTCCAGAAACAGACGGGCGGATCATATCACCTATCAGCGAAGGCCCACGAGCCAACTGTGCACTCCACGCAGTCTTTAAATGGCTGCTGGACCTTATTTTAAGTCACTTCCACTCACATACAGTGAAGATTACTTTACTGCTACTATGAAGAAACATTCTGGCTGCTAAAGAGACACGGTCTTTCTGTGTCCTGGACTTTCTGCCAGGACATACCTCTGCTGAATCTCGGCCCAGATTCAGCCTAACCTTGGTACCCAGAAATAACTGTCCTCTTCTGCAAGAGAGGAACTGAGGGGTGGAGCCACGGCATGGGGATGGGTGCCAGGGGCCAGCTACACCACCCAAAGACAACTCATCATTACTATCCTCCCAGGCGATGACAAGCTGCACTAAACTCAGTGGAAGCCCTTCTTGCTGGCCCGGGGTCGAAGAACACTAACGGAGATAAACTCGTAAATAAATACCTATAGCCGCTGTGGCTAGGCACCACTGAGCCCCAGTATATTCAGCTATGCCAAGGACATGACCTTTAGCATGCTGCTAGTGCTGGCAAGATAAAGAGCCACTATATCACAAGAAAGAGGCAGCATGACAGGCAGAAACACATGCATGCAAACCCTTCACACCAGCTGCTTCTAACCGTACAAATCTTAATTAACATCCGCCGACTAGATCAGATTATTCTGCTAATTAAAATAACTACAAGTAGGGAGCATTAAGTGAGAAGAGTCGGTGTATTGATTTCATTCATTAATGGCTCAACACCATTGCTATTATAATATTTCCAGGTATACTGTACACTGAAACAACATTTCCCAAGAAAATGATTTCACGTAACACCTGATTTGCATCTCAGAGGTATCCATGACACAAAAACAAGTTGCACCACAGCTCGCCACCCATACATGATACAACGCTCTGACAAAATCCAACTTGTCTTGGTGATTCTTTGAGTTTTTTTACGGTTTCCAAGATGAAAAAAAAAAACCAAAAAAAAAAACACAACAACAAAAAACACTGAAAATCAACAGAGCCATTTCCAAAGAAGAAAATGTTGAAAAACCTGTGTATTATTTATTTTATTCCCACCTTTGTTAACAGATATAATCTGTTACGTCTGACTAACAGTTATATTATGCTTCTCTATTATACTACTATTTGTTTCCGTGTGCAGAGTTAAAGGTTGATACAATCATCATACTTCAGAAATTCTTGAGCATATGAATAACTTGCCTGTGAGGGTTTTTATCAAAGAGTCGACTGCTATGGTATTCACAGGGCCAACAATGATATTAACCAATATCTAATCAATATTTGGTAACACTATACATCATTTGAAGTAAAAGTCAACATGCTGGTGTCAGAATGTAGAATTACACAAAAGCCATTACAAAACGTTGCTAAAATGCCTTTCTTTCTTTATGTTTCACATATGTTTAATCAAAAGAGCCTTAAACATTTATCCTTCGGTGTTGATTGGCTGTTACTCCCGATGTGTAACCAATCAGATAATAATGTGGGCGGGACATTGATCAAGTCCACAGATTGACTCCAGACAGAGAGAGGCAGCTGCATCACAGCCAAAGTAGTGCATCTTTACATTATGATGTTTTCTTAGGAATCAATCAAGCAAAATAACAAAACCAATAATCAGAAAAATGCAGAATATTGGATCTTATAATCCAATAAAACTACATGTTGATTTTCTGAATGAAACAGTATAACTCTGTTATACCTACACTAATGCCACATATGTTCTTATATGACTTATTCACTTTAAATGAAGACAAAACAAAAGCAGCAGAGAGAGAAACCAGACAAAAATCAGCAAACAAACAAGCGCTACAGTCTACCGTCTGCCAGTTATATTGTTCCCCTCGATCACCTATGAATAAATTAGGGGGGCTGATTAAAAACATCCCCAGCTGTAACCTGTTGGTCCTCTTCCAAGGATGAGTCAGCTCAGTCATCCCAGCCAGACTGGAGATCAACAACACAACTCCAATAAAAGGCTTTTAACCTTTGAGACTGTCTGCCACAGTTAACCTGTGTCACAGTAATAATGGAGAGGAGCTGCTCATTAGCTCGTATTCACTATCACTGCCGCCCCGATAAGATACCAAACGAAAAACATGGAGACATAATGTGCAACAGTTTATCTGCCAGCTAAGGACTAATATATTTTGTGCATGGACAGAATAATTGTTGGCCACTGCTGAATGAGAAAAAAAAAGGTTGTGAATGACGTCAACTGCCAGTAAAGGAAAGTTTAACTGAAAGCCCAGCGTCACTACTTTTCTATGAAGGAAAGGACGGCCAAGTCAGGAGTGTTGTCTTAAGAGCGTTAATGACTAAATCATTAACAAAGCTGTGAATTATTATGTGCAATAAAACCTGCTGCTCAGCTGCAGGTGACCATCAGACCTGAAAATATCACCGCTGAGGGACAGATTACACGCTGGTGATGTTATCAAGACACAGCTACCAGAAGAACAGCAGTCTCTACAAGCACATAAATCCATTATGCACCGAACACTTTAGAAATTAGGTTTGCTTGCAACTACAAACTGCTGTCATTACTGAAAACAGAGCTCATAAAAGGCTGGCTGGTGTACCACAGGCCCTGCAAAACAGGCCTATTATTTCTCACTGATCAACCAAAACATTTCTCACTGCTGGAGACGAGACCTCTGTAGGGTTTATTAGATGATTTATGGAAGGCGGAAAGATACAAGACTTTCTTTTCCCACTCCTAACCTTCTGATTAATAACTTTGGTCGAGTACACAGCTTTCAAAGTTACAATAAAATTAAACTTTATGAGCCCTCTGGAGAACCTGAGCAACAGCAGTAAATACAAAGCAACACAATAGAGGACAAACAAGATGAGTTGGGGAAAAAAAACAGGATACAGCAGATGGGACCTATATTGAAGTGGGGAACAACGGTGACAGTTTCCACAAACGATAATAAGCACAGTTAATAAATAATAACAGATCTACAAAAGGGGAACTGAATGGGTTTATTGATTATACTCCACTACATTTATTAGGCTGATGCAGTAATTTTTTTTTGTCTGTTAATTTCATTTAAAAAATCAGACTGGAGTTTAGATGCACTCTTTAAGAAAAAAAAAAAACAAAACTCAGTCACAACTTTTTTCAGCTTTCCTCAACTTTGCAGTATTGAGACCACATTGTAGTTTTTGTTCTGGCTTTTCGCTAAACTCTTAAAAAGTAGTCTTCTTTGCTTAAAACTGTTTCTCAGCAAAGTGACTACTGGGGCTTTTCTACCACTCTATGTGATATTTTGTTATGTTTGATATTGTTGTTGCATTATTTTTATTGTTCTCTGGTTAAAACAAAATAAAAAAACTAGCTTAAATCAGACAGCAATGAGTGTCCATGTCTTATTAACCCTATTCAGGACTTTCATGCTGCCATATGTAGCAGGTCTTTCGGGGTCCATCAGACCCCAAGAAAGAATATGTGCAAAATATTTGTTGGTATGTTAAATGAATTTTCTGATAAGTTGATGTATTTTTTTGTTCCAAATGCATGACAATGTCCCTCTTTCATATATATATTTTTTTTTAAAATCTTCAAAAAAAAAAAAAACAAGCAAAAAAAAACAATACCTGCCACCTAAACTGAACCCAAAGTCCCGAATATAGTTAATGCATGTCCTTAGTTTGGTCAGAAGTCCAAAGAGTATCCGAGGCACTGATTTTAAATTGAGAAATTCTTTATTAACACACGATTTTTTTTTCACATCGACAGTAAGGCTAAATAATATGCAAAAAAAAAAAACATTTATAAACTGGGAAATGGTTACAGCTGAAATGCCTCGTCACTATAAGGAGTTATTTTACAAAACGATTAATCATTTCAAATATGTTTCCAAGCAAACCATGATGCCAAACTATTTCTCAGCTGTGTGGATTTCCTGCTTTTGATTGTTTAGCAGATTAAGAAATAAAAACAAATAATTTCCATCCCTGAACTGTGGTTTCAGTTTTCATTGGACATAATCAGCTCCTACACACACACACACACACACACACACACACACACACACACAGAGTCAGTCAACCCTCTTAGCCAGTTTGCAGTAGAACCCAAAAGACACACGACTTTTGGGGACAAAGCTGATATCGATTTCTAAAGAGTCAAAAATTCACATTAGAAATCAGTATATTGCCAGATTTTAGCTATAAATATACTTATACGTGTTAGAGGAATATTGACAAGGGAAAATGATGGGGTCCTTGTTAGTAAGTTTCCAGCATTGTATTTGTTACTATGAAGACACTGTTTTACTCCACTTCCATCCACACTCTGCTACATGTGCTGCAGACAGTAAACAATGCAGCCGCTCTGCTGGACAAACTGTATGATGACACCGGTTCTGGATTACCTCAAGCATCATGCTTGGTTCAAAAAGTTTTATATGAGTACACCAATATATCTGAGACAGGCCGATACTGGGCGGCCGATATATCGATCAAGCTCTACTTTCTGATCATTAACTTCACATTCAAAAAGAGGCCAAATCAGCTGTAATACTTTGGGTTTCCTACATTATCAAGCTGCTCTCTCTCAGTCGGTAATACTCTACATCTGGACCAAATACTACAGGTGTCCAGCGGCCCGTTTCAAACCACAACTAGCGCCTCACATCGCTACTCAACACAATGAATGAACCAGCCGGAGGTTTGGTAGAAAGATGTTGCTCCTGCGGGACAAAAAGATGAATTATGATCAGCGCGTCGGTCTGCTCACCACACAGCTCCGCGGACATTCACGCTGCTCTTAAAACACGTCCAACAGCTCGCCTGCTTGTGTTCATATCGACCCAGCCGCTAACTGCAACTTTCTTCGACCACAGGACTCAAAGCTCCGCCGACAGGAGAAAACACAAAGAAGCAGAAGCAGCGAGGCGGACTTACTGGCGGAAGACAGCGGGGAGTCCGAGCTGCTCTCTTCCTTGTTTCCACTGAGCTCAGGGGAAGCGGCCGCTGCCTCTCTTTCCTTAAACTCACAGCAAAGTTGTGAGTTACACGTTAAAGTTCATGTCCGGTCAGCGCTGCTGTGTTTGGCTTCCTTCCCTTTCTTTCTTTTTTTTTTTTTTCATAACGTTTTTTTTTTTCTTTTTTTTTTACATAAAGTTTTATTATGAAAGTTGCGTCATCACTGCCATCTAGCGGCCACAGCGGCACATTGCAGCAGATCCACAGTCGTCCTCAAATTGACAAAAGTAATAATACATTTAAAAAAAAGAAAAGAAAATCATGACATCGTTTTTGAATTGTGGTTCAACAGAAAGTCTCTCTGTGTGGCCCTGTGATGGATTGGCAACCTGGATGGATAAATATAAAAACAAATAAAAAATAATATTTAACATCTGTCCCAAGACAGTCGTCTGAAGAATTACAAAAACTACTTTAATAGAGTCCATTTAGTAAAAGACCTTAAACTGGAACTCAGACTGCAGCTCACGAAGATTCGTTGAGTGTAAATGTGTTCTACATTCTTATGTTATATCTGTTTAAATGTTATTTATGATGTCAACAAAACCACACTGTGAGTGTATTAATCCTAATGCTCCCATTTTACAGCACAATTGATTTCTCCACTGCGTTTGTCTAAAAAAAAAAAAAAGATCCTTTATGAACTTGTTAAGCTTTGCTGAAATTAAATTGTCTTTATTTTTCTTCTGTGTCACATAAAACAGCCGAAGGTTTTCCTGCTAGTTTGTTCTATCTAGTTTGTTCATATTCAAAATGCAGCCTGAAGTGTGTTTTACAGATGTAGAGGTACTGAGGAGATGGATCATGATTAAATGGAAACGTATCACTCAAAAACTGTCTGATCCTGATGGTTTATTAACAGCTGACTATTGTTTTCTTAGGTAAAATACAAAGACTCCCACACATTAAGGCCAATAAAGTCGAACACCAAGAGAGCATCAACTAACAGTGCGTTGTGGATAAAAGTGCAACTTTTTTTTTTTTAAATTTCAAATTATTTTACAATTTAAGGATATATCACAGACACCCTTTTTATTTCATGAGGTGAATTTATTCATCCCGCCCTGCTGCCTCAGGAACCACACACAGTCAGCTGAGGTACGAAACAAGCCTCACATAGACTCCCATAATCCCACAGTTCCCTTTGCTTCCCATTGAGCCGTTACCACCATCAAACCGGCTCTGGTCGCTGCCAGACAGCCTGGTGTGGCTGATGTGAGTCTGGCAACCTGTCAAGAAAATGTGGAGCGTCTCTCTGCCCCATCATGCAGCAGGACAAGAGAAGCCAGTCTGTACTGCGGCATAAGGAAGTAGTGTTCGTTAAAAACCAGTAACCACCTCTCCCTCCTTCTCTCATCTTCCCTCTCTCACCACCTATCCAACACCCCAAAATGTCTTTTTTTAAACACTTGAAATTATGTAATGCATTTTAAAAAAAACATCTAAATGCTCTCTGTCTGTACTGACTCAGTGGGTTCACTATCACTGATGGTCGTCTTGGATTTTAAAAGCCTGCAGACAAATGAGTCCTTGTCCACTTCAAGTCACCTTCAGCTTGCAGGGAGACAGAAGCAGATAGGAAACAGGCTGGTTTAGTAAGTGCAGCTCTAAAACGTTATAAAATTGTCAGCAGTCAGATTACTGTTGGCACCTACAGAGAGGAGGTAGTTAAATGTGTGCGCTGTGACTAATTCAGCCTCAAATAAGTAGTTAAAATAACAGGAAACTTTTCCTCATGTAGTTTCCATGGATCACGAGTGTGCACAGTCACTAATGGTGGATAATGAGGTGAACGGGTTTGCCAAGTGTCTCTCTGTGTTACCTTCTCTCATTCTACTGCTGCGCTGCCTCTCATGCTCATTTCTCCCAGAGTTCCTGAAAAGAGAGAAGGCATTTGCCTTTATTGTGACTAATAAAGTCAGACACTTTTACTGAGACTGATCTTTATCCCAGACTGCATGAACAATTCTCACTTTATTCCAGCAATGCTGTAATGACACAGAGGCAGAACAATGTGCTTTAGTTTTAGCTGCTATTAGTCACAGTTGTCATGAAAGTAAAGCCACTAAAATAAAAAAATCACATGAAACAGTCTGCATGTGACTAAATTTACACACTATAATAACTAGCAGCGACAAGTAGCTTCTGTTTGACTAAAGCATTGTACCTCAGTACAATTTTAAGGTAGTGTGCCTTTCCTATATATACATTTGTACATACATTTTTGTACCAGATTTATTTAGGATCTATGCAGTATTTTCAAATCTACATTTAATATTGAAACCTATGACAATATTTCAACATATATACAGAGTTGGGTGGTTCAAAGTAGCTTATGCTGATTGGTGTAGATACAGTACATGATAATGTAACACAGATACAGGCCCTTTTGCTGCCTGACAAGCACTTTCATTTTTAGAACTGTGGGTTTTGATACCTTTTTACTTATTTAAGCAGATGAGACTGATCTGATGGGTTGTTGCAGTATTGTTTAAGTTCTACTGCACAAATTTGTATTAGTGTTTGTATGTGTCTGTAAAATGTTTAGGTATTTGACACATTTTTAAAAGAGGAGTGAGAAAATGTCCCTTTGAGGGGGCAAATATTTCTGGGAGCCTTAGAGATGTTTTTTTCTTTCACAAGCTTAAAATTCAGTATGCTTTCATTAGACACCCTAATGGGTAAAGTGACTCTAACCCAATTTGCTCGGACAGCAGTGGATTTTTTCATCTGTGGCATTCCTAGTACACTCCAGCTCTTTTATTGTGCAGGCTGTAAACTCCAGATGGGTGTTCTCCTCCTGACACAGACGTGATTATGGCCTGACTTATAGAAAGATCAGACTCTGATCAGAGATCACAGAACATCAACCGATTATCACTCTAATCTTACTCAAAGTCAAACTTAATAACAAGCAAGAAAACAATACAACAAAACGGTTGTGTGACAATAAAGAAAAAGCTGTTATTCTGCAAGTTCAATATTCTGCATTCATCCTGCATCTTCCCTGTGTTTCTTTTTCCTGTGCTGCAAAGTGTTGCAGACTAGACTCATGAGTAGAGTGTCTGTGTGCATTCAGACTTAATAAAGAATGAAACATTTCTACACAGTATCGCTTAGCAAAAGTGACACACAGTGCAGTAATATTTCCCTACTGGATGCAATGCCTGCAGCTATATGCACATTCATTCTGCACGGGTCAAAAAACACAGTAGAGTATCTCTTCTGTCAACATATAAGGTCTCATTGTTATGTTGGTCTGTATTTCCCCTGCAGTTCTGTAAACCATTAGTATATATGTCTTTGTGTCGCTGACAGAAATTCCTCCACACTTATAATTCTTCTCAGCAGTTAAGAGCGTGACTGCAGCATCCTGATGCACCTATGAGCTACTTGAATCATCTGCCACAGCTAAATACAACACGGACAGTCTGTGAAAGAGAATAATGAAAACAAGATCTGCACATCCTTTTTTCCAGATGTGCTCACCACAGTTATCAGTGGAGCTCATACACACACACACACACACATGTATATATATATATATTTAGTGAGCGAACCCTGGCAGCTATAAAGCAGCTATTCACTTCTATGGAGAGGCTGTAAAAAATGTCGCCCTCCCACTTGATAGACTGCAAGAGACTGTGTCAACACACACACCGACACACACACACACACACACACACACACACTACCCCCTGTTCTCAACGGATAGCAGGAGGTGATTCAGAGCCAGGACTGGTTGAAAGAAGGCCTTATGATAGGGAGCAGGCTTCATTTTCTTATTAGCAACTTGTGTAGCAACAATTTTGGTTTGAAATTGAGGAAAATCGTTATTCACAATTATATAGACAGATGTTTTGGCATATGCATGATGTGACTGTGGGATTGCAACAACATATATGATAATATACCGCCTGATTTCCTTTTAATTCCAGAAGGAATACTTGTGTCACTATAGAGTTAGTGCCATCTACTGACCAAGGATAGACACTGCAGGATTCATTACAAAAAAGTGTCTGATGTTGCTGTTACCATAGCTTCATCCATCCATCCATCCATCCATCCATCCATCCATCCATCCATTATCTATACACTGCCTAATCCTCACCAGGGTCGCGGGGTGGCTGGAGCCTATCACAGCTGACTTAGGGCGAAGGCAGGGGACACCCTGGACAGGTCACCAGTCTATCACAGGGCGACACTTAGAGACAGACAACCAAGCACACTCACATTCACACCTACAATTTAGAATCACCAGTTAACCTCAACATGTTTTTGGACTGTGTGGGAGGAAGCCAGAGAACCCGGAGAGAACCCACGCTGCATGGGGAGAACATGCAAACTCCTAGGTGTCCTCACCAGGATGCAAACCAGCGACCTTCTTACTGCGAGGCAACGGTGCTAACCACCGATCCACCTTGCAGCCCACCATAGCTTCAGTAAAACAAGTTAAAGAATCCCCCGAGACATGTAGGATAAATACACTGCTGTGTATAATAATTTGAATCTAATTTGGTTTTTCCATTGAAAAGTTCAGTTACCTGGTAAGAATTACTTTGTCCTTCACTGAAAAGTCCCTCTACATATCTGCATATCTAAGTACAACTATATCTTATATGTTACTGAAAGTCCATTTAAAATGGATGTAAAGTGTAGGATTAAAGTTTGTAGATCACACTTTCGTAAGTTCTGCATTCTGCACAATGAAGGTTGAACATTCAAAAGAAGCATAAATGGCCAAAACATTTTTTTTAAAGAAAGGGGACTTCAAAGACCCCTCTTTGGGGAAATCACTTTTTTATTTGTTAATATGTCTGTATGGTTCTTTTTATATGCC